TTACACACCTTCTCAAAAAAAGGTTCTTTTTTTTTTACATTTCCTGAAGAAAAAAATAAGTGATGATTGTCTGTGTAAAACTCACCAGCATAATGCTAGGGTTTTGGTGGTTGCTATGTAGATGGTGTTGTGGGTAGCAGGTAACTGGTAGAACATGGTGCCAGCAATAAGATACATGAGGACTAACACACTGATAGAACAAATCATTTAAATTAAATTGCTTTTTCCAGAGTGATTTAGGCGGCTGCCAGGACAGTACTATTCTGAGTTTTTAACAGATTACAGTGCAGTTTTTAATTTTTTCAGAGTGTTTTCACAGCATTCCAGTGTTTATACTTGCCATATCCAGACAGCAAAAATGTTTGAACAACTTCATGAGGACTCTGGGAGAGCAGGTACGTCTGTACTGGCACCTTAACGGCACCCAGTTTTTATTTGTCTAAATGAATTGCATATATTTACAAAATTAGTCTAAAATAGCATATAAGCCTTTTTAATGAAATTAAAGGTCCATGGTTAATAAAAATGTTCATGAAATTAAACGAAAGGGCCCTATCATGCACATGCACATTATCTTAAACATGGGCGTGCTGGTCTGGTGTGTCCGGGCGCATTGCTATTCAGTTGTAGGTAACTGAAAAAGACTGTGCCATTGACCAACAGAAACCTGATCTAAAGTCAATGGCGCAAAATGTATTTGTTTATTTATCCCCCAGGGGATCAAGATGTATTTGGGGTCCTTGAGATGTTCTGACATGCCCTGACATTTGTACTTTTTTCAGTTGCTTATAAACATATTAATGGCACAGGTGAAATTACACTATATTTAGCAAAAGCAGGGCTACCATAATATGTGAGCAACATGTATGTACATGTTTGTATTTTTGAGAGAATATTGTTTATGCGTGGTTATTGAAAAAAACTAAAAATGAAAGTTTCTGAAATAAGGCCACAAAACACATACGAAACATGCGTCCACAAGACTTGTGACTAATGGATGTTGTGGCTTAGAGTTTTTTTTTTGTTTGTTTTTTTCTCACAGCGCAGAAAGACAAGGTAAGGTTAGATTTATGATAAACTGGATGTTTTATCCAGCTGGCGTTTTCATGGCTTGGGTTAACATTAGCGTTTGAATAGCGCACGTTCTAAGTGGGCAGGGTCACATTAACACGTCATACAGTACGCTATAATTAGGTGAAAGGAAAAATACTGACATCTCTCTCTTTTCATACAGATTACATCAACTGAGAATAGTTGCTTTTTTATATAAATTACTTCATTTAAAAGAAGAGAATTTCAGCTTCATAAAGATCTTTTGTGTCTCTGTGACAAGTATTTATTGAGTAACAGTTCATTTTTCGGACACTTTCAGAAAGATTTTTGCAGAGATAGAGTGAGCTCAAAGCGCACCCTGTTTATATTATTTATTTTACAAAACCACAAGGTTTTGATGTTAATACAAGTGTACACAAAAAATAAGACCCTCTAAAGTTTATAATCATGTATTGATTTTATATGACCATTAATGACGGAGTATTTTAAGTCTATGTTGCAGCTATGTAAAAAAAAAAAACGATCAAAACACGGGGGTGCGTTTTTGGTCCCCAGGGGGTTAAATAGAGAGAGTGCACCTATAAGCAGGTCCACAATGTGTGTACACTTTGTCCCACTTTGATTGTCTTCATAGATAGATAGTAGATAGTAGGCTTTAACTTTGCGCACAAGCAAATCCGTTTCCTCCCTAGAGAAGCATTCTGTTTTTTCACTTGCAAATTCCAACTTTTAAATAGTAGTGGGGATTTCTTTAATACTGCAAGCTTGGCTTCCCCTTTAATCTCAAAAAATGAATTGTCAAATATGTACTATTGTGTTAACATTTTATTGACTAAAAATTCGTTAGAACACGTTCATCTCAAATAAGAGTTGAGCTACATAGCAGGTTTGGCTGACCCGATTTCCTTCTCATATATTCCAGTAGCATTTCACAACGGATAAATGCTGCGATTATGCAAAAAAAATGCTAGGCAATGTTCATCATATATTTCACACAATTATACACTGTAAGTAGCCTAACTCTGCTGAGAGGACACTGGTCAAGTCACTGGAAAAGACACCTAGTTGGTACGACAGGGTCAGAGAGCATTTTCTTGAAAAGGAACATAGGGCAGAATTTACGTATAAATAAATGGACAATTTTTATGATGTAGGCCGAAAATGAGCTTCCCGTCTTTGAAAGACCAGAAGCCTGGTAAATAGCGAAGCGCAATTGGCTTTTAATGGGAATGGCAGATGAGACTCTGATTGGTTTACTGCATGCTACACCCAAAACACACCCATTACTCTTTAAGAGAATAGGGACAACCCTTTTAGACCATGTGCCGGGTGTGCCGACAATTTTTCCCATTGTTAAACTAGCAAAAGTGGATTCGGACACTCCCTAAGTGCACTTGGGCCGTGTGCTTTAGACCATGCACTTAGATAATTTATAGAAAGTCTAAACAAGGCTTTAATGTGTTCTGAGGGCATTTCCAAAAAGCATCATAAGCCAACTATGGTCCCAAGTTCCATCACAACTAAAAACATTTATCATTACATTGTTACTAACTAACAAGTTCCATCACTACTTCATCGTTTCCCGAAACCATAGTCCCAATAAACATTCGCAAACAGCATCACAAAATTGTAAGGTTGAAACTATTGCTCTTGACCTGTGAGATCATGCTCTTGGACAATAAGCAAGATAACATGCAGTACACATGCACATGCATTTAATACTGCACTAGCGAAGTAGTCCTAAGATACCGAGGTCATTACAACAGCATTTTGGAGATTTTGGGCCCTATCTTGCACCCGGCGCAAAACTGACACATATATCATTCCTATTTTGCACCCGAGCAAAGCGGGCTTTTTCTCTCCACAGATGCACGTCGGTAAACTAGGGAATGAACTTGCACTCCCTGGGTGGAGCGGCGCAAAAAAAGGAGGTGTGTTTCGGCTAAAACATTCCCTGGTGCAATTTTACAGTTCCAGAAAACAATTGCGCCACTGACCAGAAAAAACCTGGCCTAAAGTCAGTGGCGCGCTGTGCATTGTTCATAACGTTATTTCTAAACGTGCATGCTTGGCCATAATGTAGCGGGTGCACAACGCGCATTCACTTTGATTCTCTCATCAACACAGACGCAGCAGTTTTTATTTTTGCGAATCATACATTATAACAAGGAAAAATATTAACACATGAGGGAAATCATTGTAGTTTACATGAAGATGAAAAAACCTAATTACCCATTTTTTTTAAGACTCATTGTAGTACTGAAGGATCAGACCTGTTTGCCCAATAGTGACAAGAAACATATGTATATAATGTTTAACCGACGCTGATTTGGGTGGGTTTCTCCCATACCCTTACAACGTCTCTGTCTTTCACTGCCCTGACGAGAACGTCGGTCTCATCGGATATAAACTCTCTTGGCGTTCGCCAGGTAAACCCGCCATGCCTGGTAAACAATCTGTCATGCACCTGCTCTCAAAGGGTATGTTGGGTAATGCTCTGATTGGATTATTTCACGTTACGCCCAAACCACACCTATGAATAATGACGCTACTTCAGACCAAACCCTTTTAAACTTGTGTCGGGCGCAAGAGTCATTTATCCCGCCGGTAAAATAGCAACAGTGCCCAAGACCCGCTCACAAAGTTATTTGCGCTTCGCGCTTGATACTTGTGTTTCAGATCGTTAAAATATGGCCCATTATGTTGTAGAGAAAGCTGTTGACTGAATGAACAGTATATATAGCTTACAGAAGTTAAGTGTACGCCAGTTAGATACTACATGTTAGTGTGATTAAAAAAGTATATGTATATTCTATTGTTTTGTGAAGTATAATAATCTGACAATAATGGAGTTCTTGAATCAATAAATCGATGGAAGTTATTACACCTCCACATGCGAGTGACGTCATTTAGGACAGCCCTATATTGTTAAACCAATGTGGTTCAAAACAACAGAGGTGCGAAGTATTGATGATATTCTGGTCTCTAGATATGGCTCGGAATGGTCATCCTTCAAACTAAAATGTGTGTCTCTAAACGCTTATAATAAGTAATTGCATGCCTCTTCTCAATAAGTCACACAATTTGAGGTCGCATTCATGGCCAAAGCACAAGAAGATTAAGTCTGATGTTTGAAAATGTGGAAGCTTATGACAAAAGTATTGAAACACCATCAAAGCACAAGGCATATACATGCTGTCTACATCATTTATAAACAAAATTAAGCCAACAAAGATGGAATGAACTAAAAACATTACACAGACAACAACACAGGCAAAAGGGCCCCAGTGACGTAACGTGAAAACAAACGTACGGTACAACCGGCTTGATTTGCTCCATTTGTTTGTTGAATGTGACTGTGAAGTTCTTCAAAACAGTATTCAGCACACAAACATTTCCCGAGCGCTTTGAAAGCTTCTCTATGTGTCCCATTCCAGAATCGTCTGCCATTTCCCAAACAAACGGCAAACAATGAACGCACCGAAAAAAAAATTCAATAAGCTAATGGAGGCGCACACAAGTGATTGAGCTCTATTAGAGATCAAGCTATTACCCAATCCCGCTTAAGTTGACTGCTCACGGTTCAACACAGCAACGTGAGCCGGCTTCCGGCTGAGAGTTTTGATTAGAGGAAATATGTGCCATTTGCTAACGCACCAACGGATGATGATGATAGCTTTCAGTGAGAATCGTCAATCATCTGTAAAGCCGGGTGTCTTATGTTAGTGAGCTTCATTTACAGTGAAAACAATTTGGCCTAAATGTCGCGTTGTTGTGCTGCGTAAATTGGACGTGCTTTAGTCTGAACGCAGAAGGTTCATTTGCTCTGCATGAATGCCCAACCAGATTCTAACTGGCAGCTGCCATTCTGCTTCTGTGTGGGAGTCTGTGGCGGGCCGTGACATTCGTTGGCATTTATTCCTGTCGAGGGGGTGCAGAAGTCCTACCTGGCAGAGAGGCAGAGGAGCGGGTGGAGGTGTCCGGGTGGGGAGGAAGCCCCTGGCTGGAGCTCAGCTGGGGGTGAGAGGGGATCTGCAGGGTGAAGCTGCGCTCCGGCACCCCGGTGCTGCCCCGCGGGAGTCTCTTCACCTGCACAGAGGGATGTCTGCTGATTGACAAAGACTGATTATGAGAGTTGGCTAATAGATATTGCAGAGCCGTGGCTCTCGACTGGTTTTGCTTCAGGACCGAGATAATTTAGGAACAGGGATTTAATTGTGTTTGATTGGACACAGCCTTTGACATCAACAACAAAACATATGTAAGTGTTTCTCCTCCCTTATAAATACTGATAAGCTCATTTATTTTGCTATTGTTCCTCTGCTCAAATATGCTTAGTTGCATTTATTGTTGCTGTTCTTTTTTCTCTCTCTCTGCTGTCTGTGAACCTTCCAAAACAGACCTGATATTTTTTGGGTCAGAGCACACCTCTATTTTGACTTTCTTTATGTGTGCATGTATGTACATTTGTTTGTATTTATTTATTTATTTATTTATTTATTTATTTATTTATTTATGTGTACATTTTAAGACAGTGGATAATTGAAAGGAAATTACATTTAGAATAGGAATGGAATGCCGAAATGATTTTAATTCAGATCCAATCCAGGAGCATGCTAAGTGCCGGGACTAGTCGACTACCTTGGCATTTTTTTTACTACTAAAATCATGGACTGTTTCACTCCCAGGTGGAATCTGACCATTTTTGACATGTTCTGCACTGATTTGGGGAGAAATCTGCATATTTCTGTAGAATTGATGGTAAAATGTGTTAAACAAAGCTGAAAGCATTTTCAAAGTATTTATTTTGAACAAGCATGGGGTTGGTGATGCATTTTAAGGACTTTTTGTGAAGTACACACAAAATTCATTAGATTGAGATAAGTCATGCTTTTCTTTTTGACTTCATTAAGATGTCATTCATTAAAAGGATCAGTGCATCTTCTAAAATGTATCTGGATCTGTTTAGTAAAGATGTGGTTTGTTTACAACCTGGCTCAAGTTTCCAATTTTCTTGCAAGAGCCATTTACACTCTCTATCTCTCACACACACATATACAAAACAGGACCCTTTTCTCCCAGAACAGAGTTCGGTCAAGGTAACTACTAGTGCTGGGCTAAAAAAAAAAAAAAACTTCCCTCAAGTTTTACTGCATTAGTCGAGAGAGATTTTTTTTTTCTTTAAGAAAATCTGAATTGATATCGCTGTAGTTCCTCAGATCAAGCGAAACGTTACAGCATGACATAAACATGAATGAACATCAGAAGGTATGTTGAAAGATACAGTACTGTACAACTTACAGAAATACGTATCATGTCACATTTAAATCGCTCAATCTGTGTTTTAACTGCGGAAAAAGCAGATAAAACAGCTTGTAAACAATGTCATGTAATGTTACATTTACCTAAGAAAAGCCACTCAACTTCCAAAAACTCATTAGTCAGCTAGAAAAAAAAAAAAAAAAAACCCGAAGAGGAGCATTTTGCAAAATGTATGCACTATATTGCATGTTCGTTGTATTTTTACTAAACCAGTTTTCAATATTTAATGTATTTTTGAATAAAATCTGTCACAGCAGTCTGTCATTTTAATGACACCATTTGATTAGAAACATAACCATGATATAGTCCTGTTAATATAACGTTATTATAATATAAAAAAAGCTTCATTATGTCTAATTTAAATGCAAGTAGCTTACAAGTCAGTGAATTTTATTCTTTAACATTATAGTGATAAGTCGAAAGTCAAAATTGCGATCTAAAAACTCACACTTGTGAATTTATATCACTCAATGACTTTATCACAAACAATTGTGACTTTATATCACACAATTCTGACTTTATCACAGAGAATTGCAACTTTATATCATGTAACTGACTTTATGCACAATTGTGACTTTATATCACGCAATTCTGATTTTATCACACAATTGTGATTTTAAAAAGTCAGAATTGTGAGATGTAAATTTGCAATTGTGAGAAAAAAGTCAGAATTGTGAGATAAAAAGTCGCAACTACCTTTTTTATTTTTTTTATTCTGTGGCAGAAACAAGCTTCCATAATTATCAGTAAAGTAAATGTCTAGTACATCTTAAAGGTGTACCTGGAAGTAGAGGTTGCATAGCCAGTGGTCCAGGTCAGTGGAGAGTAGATGCTCAATTTTGCGGAATTGGTTGAGTGAGGGGTTCGGCCTGCCACGCAAGAGAGGGGTCTTGAAATTGCCCTTGAAGAGTTGAAGGGAGCAGTCGCAGACGGGAAATGCACCATAGCCGACCACACAACTCACATGACTGTGATCACCAGGCAGAGATAACAGCTTGAACAATAGAACACTGGACGGCAACAGATCGCAGGAAGCAGGTAAGACCTGAGAGAGACAAAGGGGAGAACAACTAAATATAAAACCTATCATCTAAAACAAATGAAAATTATAATCTATTTTAAACAAAACGGAGGGAGTCAAAATGATTTATAAAGCACTTTAAACACAGAGTAGACCTAGGCAAGACTAATCTAATTTGTATAATAAATAAAAATTACATTTATATACAACCCAAACAACGCACTTGTATCTAAATGGAAACATAGACTTCTATTGCTTATATATATACAGCTAGTTATAAATACTGTAACATAACTAACCAACACCCCAACTGAAAACTTTATTTATTTTATTTCTACGCTGTTTTTACAAATCAGGACATCCCCAAAATTAGCTTTTTTTGAGATTTTGTCCCCAAAATATGATTAAGTAAGATATACACAGAATGGCCATTATGTTGTTGCACAATGTATAACTGCATCTTGTATATAGACAGGTTTGAAATATATTTATAGAAGTAGAGTATACAAGCTTGATGATAATGATAATGATGATGATGATGTCACACCAAAAATAGGAAATAAAAAATATATATATATATTTGTTTGTTTGTTTGTTTGTTTAAAACCCCGTTACTCACCTAACTTATTACTCATTAATCCAAACTGTGGGTTATTGTAAAAACATATTGTAAAGACAAATTGTGGCAATTATGAATAAAGTAGGGCTGTCAAATGATTAATCGCGATTAATCGCATCCAAAATAAAAAGTTTGTGTTTACATAATATATATGTTATATTATATGCACTGCGTGCAATTATTTTATATGTATATATATATATATATATATATATATATATATATATATACACACACACACACACACACATGCATGTATATTTAAGATTTTTTTATTTATATATAAAATATTTATATATAATATCAATTATATAAATCTGCAGTATATACAATATATACATGAACATATTTCTTAAATATATACAAGCATGTGTGTGTATTTATATATATAAAATAATTATACACAGTGCACCTACATGTAAACACAAACTTTTATTGTGGATGTGATTAATCGTTTGACAGCCCTAGAATAAATATTAATTTATTCATTTAATTTTTTTTTTTTAAATATTACACACAAAATAAAACAAAAATAATGGATCCCAAGGTCAAACCAGTGGTCTACTAAATTTCCTCACAAAATATGTAAATGTGCTAAATATGATCTAAAGTTTGATCCTAGATGATGAAACATCAGAATGAGATTACAGCTGTTTTCAGGAAGCCATCTCAGCAGGGGCGCCAGCATGTGACGATCCCAACATGACAGCCGTGACATCACTAGAACATGCAAAGCAGGCACATTTAACAGAAAATGTGGTATATCAGGAGAATGTGGCATGAGGAATACCAGCGTTTAACACACGGAGATCCTTATTTACCCATCAAGCAAGAGACAGACCTTTAAAAAATGAACTGACAGAAAGAAGCGCTTGACTTCATCAATCATTCCCGGAATATTCCATCCCTCCATTAGGTGTAATGGAAAACGGAGAAGACTTGTTTTATCACATTCATCATGTGTTTCTCTTCTAATCGCTTCGTGCTCACACCTAAAAAAAAAAAAACGGCACAGATTCCCTGCGTCGGGCCTCAAATTCATGCCATAATCTCCCGCAGTATACATATTGAAAAATATTTCAGACGCTTAATTCACTGAAAAATAAGCAAGAACATTGCTGACTGTATCAATTGGCAGGGGGAAAAAAGATTAAAAAAGAGAGTGAAAACAATAAAATGACTGAGACGTTGTATTTCAGGCCTATGTCAGTTCTCAAGTGGAACTGCTGCATGCTGGGAATCTATTAAAGCATCACAGCGATCGCATTTCATTCAAAACAGACCTGTGCTTACTGAGCAAACTCCACAAGAGAAAGAGGGAAAAGAGAAAATGCAAACTTGAAGGCATACATAAAAAAAAAAAAATACAATAATTTTTTTTTTTTACAAACTGTGTAAAGAATCTATTTTTTTTTCTACAGGAAAAAAACAACAACAGCATTTTCATTTTGGGATGAACTACTCTTGTGAGTGGGCTTGCCTCATGGACTGCTGGTCTCATTTTGCTTTTAAACATATCGTATCGACTGTTTTTGCTTTAGATGGAAGCGCTGTGAAACAATGGAATGAAGAGATGGGGGGGGGGGGGGGGGGACTAAGACTTCAGATTGGCAAAGATGTGAAAGATTCTTCTTATCTTCCGCTTCCTTGCCTGGACCATCACGGCTTTCACATCCCACTTGAAGGAGAGACTCAAATCTGCAAGATGGATCAAACCAGAGCAACTCTAAGCACCAGCCAGAGACACTCAAGAAAAACATGATGAGCTGTAGCTTTCCTCCTACTATCGCTAATTCCTCATTTCCTCCGCGAGAGCTGTGTGGAAAACAGACGAGATGAGGCGAGAGCACACGGTAATGTGGGCAACAGCAAAAAGCAAATGAGCCAATTACAGACAAATCTGATGGAAATCTTCGAAACATAAACATCAACAGCAACAGGATTGGCTATAAATAAGAGCTGGTAGAGGATAGAGGAGACTGACACTAGACAATCTCAATGGAGCGCTAAACGATTGCCTGCCAAATCAGAGCCCACGGTTTTGGACCAGAGAGGAGGAGTATTCAGTTAAAGCGGCCCACTTTATTTTCTTTGTGTCAGATGCTTCTGTCTGCAGATATAGGCCTGACTACACCAGTGCATGCTAGATTTAGGGCTTTAATTATTGAACTTGATCACGTTTTTAGGATCTTTATTTACAGTGTTTGCAAGGCACTGGCTGAACAACATTTCTGGTTAGGATTTGAAGTAAACTAATAGATTCCCCAAAACTCTCCCATTCAAACTTCATTTTGAAGATTATTACACTGCATGTCCAAATGAATACAAAATAAATATATTTTTTAAAAAAAAGGATAAAGTTAAAATTTTAAAACAAATAAAATCATATATATATTTTTTTTTAATGATTATTCAATAATATGACTTTTACAAGAATAAAGTGTGGTTACAAGATTCAAGTACACTTTAAAAATATTTTTTGCTGCTTGTTGAAATTGTTTAATTAAAACGAGCTTAAACAACACAAATCTATATATTTTGCCCAAAGTTAATTTGATTGTGTTCAATCTACTTAAATATGTAAAATTTAAGTTTACTTAATCTGTTTGTGTTGGATTACATGAATGATTTGTGTTGCATTAACTGAAACTGGGCTGTGCTTGTTACAGTAGTTCCCAGCATGCTTTGCATATGGCTGAATTAAGAGACAATACATTTCTAAATTAAGTGTTATTTTGAGAAAATGAGAAAAGGGGAAGACTTTATGGTGCGTAATTGTGTTTAATGTACAATTACATTGCTTAGTACTGTTTAAATTACAGTGGGTTACCATTGTGGAGAAGTGTGGAGCATTTAGTTAGGCTGAAAACTTAGCAATACTTTCAGCAAATGCTTTGGTTGATGAAGCATGAAAATCTTATAATTTAATACTACTAGAGATGTATTAATGTGACATTAAAATAAACTTCATTGGATTGGATGAATGAATATTATGAATTTGAGTAACTGAAATGTATCAGGAAGCCTTTTTAAATTCACTGAAAATATTAAATTAAGCTGTGACAAACCATAGTAAATAAGTTGAATCAACCTTAGTACATTAAGTTGATTTAACGTAAGCACATTCAATTGGAATAACAGAATTGCATAATGCTGAAATAAAGCAAGTTAATTACATGGAAAACATTTCCACGATTTTTTTTATGTTCATTCAAAGAGGTTTTATATATGAAGAGTTCAGATGCAAACGCCTCTAAATGCCATTTGAAATGTTCTTCTTGAATGATGATTTTTATCAAACTTGTATATTTAAGTTCAGTAATTTCCCTTAAATAACAATTAATAGGTAATCATCATTGCCATTTAAGTGAGATCACTGAACTTAAATATACAAGTTTGATAAAAATCATCATTCAAGAAGAAAATTTCAAATGGCATTTAGAGGCTTTTGCATCTGAACTCTTCATATATATATATATATATATATATATATATATATATATATAATTTTAGAAAAATATTGCATATTTTTTATATATTTTATATATTTCATGGATTTTTATGGATTTTAAGACTATGCTTTAATCAAAACTATTGTTAAAAATGTAACTTTATTCTCATAAAAAGGCCTATAATGAGATTATAGTCATTTTTTTCATCGGTGTGCTGTGCTTTTTAAATTAAACGATTAACGTCTGCAATTGACTTCATTGGAAGTCCTTCATTGGGTTTCTTTCTTAAAAACGTTCAAGTCTTTACTTGCAAATATTTGCATACAGTAAACATTTGCATAGTTGTTCACCACACAGTCACTGCATTAATTCTCATTCACAGCCAACAAAAAACAAGACAACCTTATAACCTTAAAGGAGTAGTTCACTACATTTAAATAAAAAAAAAAAAAACTTTTGCTGATGATTTATAATTTACTCACCCACATGTCATCCAAGATATCCATGTCATTCTTTCTTCAGTCGAAAAGAAATTAAGGCTTTTGATGAAAACACTCCAGTATTTTTCTCCATATTATGGACTTTACTGGTAACCTGGCGGTTTCGCTTGATAAGACCCTTATTCATCATCTGGAATCGTTTAAAGCCCTTTGAACAGTTTGCAGTTTGCACTGAAACTGTCTTTTGGACCTTGAACCGTTTGGTTACCAATAAAGTGCATTATATGGATAAAATCCTGGACTGTTTTCATCAAAAACCTTAATTTCTTTTCGATTGAAGAAAGAAAGACACGGACATCTTGGATGACATGGGGGTGAGTAAATTATCAGCAAGATACTTTAAGTTTTTTTTTAAAGTGAACTACTCCTTTAATACTGTTCTTTTGCTCTGAATGGCACTAATATTTTCATAAATGCACATGTAGTTATGTATTTATTTTTCTTATCTGCCTCAGTAGTTTTACTTGAAATCTGACACTGCTGGAATTCAGGTTTCACAGCATTTCTACTTCATTTTTATCCCAATAAATCGTCAGCTCTTGTATAATGAATTATAAAATTGATTTATGTTCACATACTAAATGTCATGTTAGAAAAGCAGCTGTTTTATTCACAGTGACTGTCCCTCAAGTCAAACCTTGAGCATTCAGCAGCAGTTTTTAATACAGTCTCTTTCCACTTCCATACACTCACTGACTGTGTAATATCACATTTCATAAGCCTCATTCTGACTCTATATTTAATAACTCAAGTGGAACTGCAGTGAGAAAAAACTGGAGCAGTTCTGTTTTTGGAGTTTAGTCCTGTCTGATGACCGACACATTTGATTTTCGCTGGAATTAAGATCACTGAAAAGCTCAGAAGGCACAACATATCAAAAGCGTTTTCCCTATCCGTGTGTGGGTGTTCTGCACAAACCCAAACCGAATGTTGTGCAGAATGCAGTCAATCTATAAAGTGTATTTTTCTTGCGTGGCTCTCTGGAATACCTCATTGTGATTGGTGGCAACAAATCGTCAACTCTTTTGTATAATTGTCCCAAATGTCTCACAAACCAAAGCTCTCTCCATTCAGACAGAGGAGCCCCGAATTTAGTGAGTCTGGAATAGTGTTTTAGTCCTTAGTTATATATGATTGTTATACAATATATTTTAATTCGTATGCATATACATTGTGATTATTATATGATTACTTTAATTAATTTTCTATGTTAAGCACTTTAAATTACCATGGTGTGTGAAATATGCTATATAAATAAACGAGCCGTTCCTAATGTGCTTTGTTGTTGTTGTTTTTTGTATATAAATACTTTTTCCCCCACTGTGAAAAAATATTGTTGGCTTAACTTAAAAAAAATAAGTAACCTGGTTGCCTTAAATTTTTAAGTTCATTGAAATTGAAAAATTGAGTTATAACAATGAAGGAGATTGATTTAATCATCAGAAACTAAAAATATTATGTTATATGAACTACAGAATTTATTTAAGTTGATTTGACAAAAGAAAAAATGTTGTGTGATTATAAATCATGAAAATATTTTTTTTACAGTGCCCTCAGAATGAACATATTAAACTAAAATTAAAATATAAAAATATATATATTAGCAGGGGCAATTATAAGATGTTTCTTTAGCCCCACATCAGCATAAAATGATTGCTGAAGAATTGTATTAAAGTAATAATGCAACAAAAAACAATGCATTAAAAAATAAAATAAAAAAAAACAGCTGCCGCTCCTTTCGTTTTGCTGTTTATGTTTATTTCGCGAATACATTTCTGTTTAACATCAGCCTCCTTCCCAGAACTTGAACTTTGTTACGATTACATCTCTTAAAAATGAACATTATTTGATGTCATATAATCAAATAGCTGCAAGTGCTGAATTACTACTTATACAGGTCACTTAATTTGACTAATTTAAATTGTGGGGTAATGCAGCACTGTTTTACATGGTCAAAGCAATCCTACTAAAAAATGCATTTGAGTGTGTTAAAAGTTATATAATATTACTCTGTATGTCAGACACGTGTGCGTTGTAGTAAGCTAGATCGATATAATATCATATTAATTAAATCTGAATGACTTGTGTTGATAGAAAAATGCAATTAACTTTTTAAAAAAAATATATTGTATCGTGGAGAAAATTACTGTTACCACAAATTAGGCTTTTTCTGATTAAACTATTTTTCTTGTAATGCAGATGGTACATCACTGCATGGTGACGCAATGACATGGGCTGTTACACAGGTTAAAATACTAATTTCTCTGGATATAAACATTGGACACAAAAATCTTACAGATTTATACACAATACACAATTTATGTAATTCAAATGAAACCAGTTTAGTTAGGTCAACACAATTTAGTTGAATTAGGTCAAATTAATTTACTGTACAGCCCATTCTCACCCCCAAGGAGTCACCTAACTGACTTGGGAAGCATTTTGACCATGCTTCAATATCTGGCGCTTTCCTTTAGCGTCAGTTAGATGACGCCGTAGGATCGCGTCATGTAACTAACGGTAAAGGGCGCCTAAAACCTCAAACATTGAAGCATGGTCAAAGGTGATGCCTTGGGGTGAGAATGCATTGTATGTTAAACTTATCGTTAATACATTTTTCAAACAATTGTTTTTTTTGTTTTTTTTTTTTTTTATGTTGGCCTAACTTGTTTTTCTTTTATTTAGTTTTTATTTAGTGAGGTTTAATTAATTTATTGACTGTACTAACATTACCATAGTTATTAGTGAAGCAACTCACAGCATACTCACAGCATACTCTTCAGCACAATGGCAACCACAAAAAAAACATTCTTATAAATTCTTATAAATTCTTATAAATGCCCAACATAACTGAACGTTAAATGCTAAAATGTCTTTACCTTTACTGAAAAACATAAAATAACACTTAATCCATAAATTCCCTCTCCTAATGCAAAGCATCCTACAGATTTACAGAACTACAATCCACTGCTCAGTTAGTTATACTGTATGTCAACAAAAAAACAATCAATGTAGTTCTAACACAAATGGTTTAAGTGAACTTTAGTTTTAAATAAGGTAGATTGAACACAATAAAACTAAGATGTGACAAAACGTTCAAAAATCGTTTTACTTTAAATTTTAATTAGACTGAACGAGAGGGAAAACAAATTTGGAGAATACCTTTGCCCTAGGTGAGCTCAAAACAGAATATTTTTTAATACAATAAAAAAAAAATGTTTTTTAGCTTATTAAATTGTGAAAATAAATCTCATCATTGCTGCCAAAAAACATGACAAATGCCCTCAGTGTTGTACGTCAGATGACAGACGGCCCCTCTAAACAGCACCCTTGATTGATAGAAGTAAAATACTGCACAATTCCTAACAAAAAGGTGATGAGGTTCGATTGCTGTGCTTTTTAATGTAGCATGAATCCACTCACATCAACAATCATCAAATCAGTTCCATGAACATCAGACATTTTGTTGTTGGGGTTAAACAAACGGCAGTTCTGCGGGTGTCTCAGGAGGGCAGTTTGCTGGGGTTTTCTTACCATGTAGAGGCTCTGGTTAATGTTGAGCTCTGTGTCACAGTATCGGCCCTGGTGTTCCACGGGTTCTGTGCTTCCAGCCCACTGCTGCTCCTGCAGACGAGACCAGCGCACCGTTCGGCCGCCCAGTTCAGTCTGAAGAGACACGCTCAGTGAGTACAGACCTCTGGGCAGCTTCTCTCTCACGGCCCTCAGACACAAAACAAACACCTCTATGGGCTGCGGAGTCCGAGTCCATTCCACCTACACAGAGAGATTGAGAGAGAGAGAGAGAGAGAGAGAGAGAGAGAGAGAGAGAGAGAGAGATAGTGAGAGATTTCACTATGTAAAACAGTGATTTAGAGAGAAAGAAAAAATTACTTTACAGAAACAATTTCACTTGCATTGAAGATTCTCTCTTCAACTCTTTATTACAGCTTTATACTGGATATTTACACCAGATTTGCCGAAGCTTGTAATCTTAAAAAAAAAAAATGATAATAATAATCTAAAAATAAATTAGAGAAATATTAAGGATGACAAAAAAAATCTAAAAATAAATTAGAGAAATATTAAGGATGACCCAAAGTTTATGGTGGGGTATACATTTTCCCCTCTAATTAGCAAATTATGATGTCATATGGTGGCGGCAATCATGGATTATAGAATTTTCATGAACAGTCACATGTTTAAATGATAAAAGGCAGCAAAATGTCCTGCACATTCTGTATGCTATATTACACAATACTGAATGCTCAGATATATATTAAGTAGTAAACAAACTGTGTAAATCATTACTAATAAATGGTAGAAACAAACCGAATGCATGTAGTGGTTGTTGGCCTTTGGCTGTAGAGATTTTCCATTTACTAAATACAGTAGGCACTCTGATTCCATGTATGGGGCACATATGGCATACAAACACAAGTAGACAAAACCTGTTTAGTTCAAAAGCTCACTCGCAATTAATGGAAAGGCACAGATCATGAGTGAGATGATACGACCAGTGCGGGCGCGGCCAGATCTGCCTCTCTTGGACTACTGTCATTGTCGTTGCGACTCCTCACCCTGCCTCCCAGTTGCCCCATAACTGTACTATGAATACTTCGGCCTCGGCTAACATACCCAGTGGTATTAGACAAAGTCTCCATCACAATACTGTCACCGCCATTGCAGAGAGGCTCTGATAAAAATGGCTCACTCTCACACTAGCTCTGCTTTTGATCTCACTGATTCAATGCGCTCTAACTCGAACATTTTGTATCCACAAGTTTCCGAGGGGCGCTCCTGTAAAAAATAAAGTGGGTGAAACTTCCGGTGAGGCGGCGGAAGTAGCATTCCAATGGTATTTTGTGTGTTAGTTAGCGAAGACGCTAGCTATTTTTCGGAGAATTATTTTACTATTTAAAGACGCAGATCTTTATGAGAGATGTCGTTACGGAGCTCAGGGACAACATGTGCTGTTCGCGGTTATATGTATAACCGGACTAAACTAGTTCAGTGGCTTAAACGTGATTGTTTTAAACATAAGCTGAAAACGAAATCAGAATGATCCTGCCAGAGCCCGTCTCTGATCCTGCCAACGACTGTAGTTTCCATCACCTCCCAAAAGACGACGAATCTTCCTGTGTACATTTGTTTAAATTCTTAATATTCTATAAACTCTATCAGCATGTGATTGGCTGTTCACTACTGATGTTACACCAAAACTCAGGATCAAAGCCTGTGTTGACAGAATACCAAATGTGCCAGTTAATGTATTCAAGCAGCACATTCATTTATACTTTTGAACAAACTCCAAAGCACAATGACTAAGTGTGTATTTTTTATTTTAATTGTTTGTCAGCTCGAACAACTGTCTGTCACCATGCCTTGATGAGTATTGATTATTAATAATGTTATTATAATACTCCCAATCAACTACTGCGGAGGGTAAAGGTACTGTTATTTCACCCTTTTTAATTTCGTTGAGGTTGTGTTCCCACATCGTTAGCTAGTTTGGATCGCTATAACTTGAATGACTGTCAACTGTTGAATGAACGAGTGTCAAGCATGTCAAATTGTGCTTTGTTTACTTCGAACCGGAAGTCGCGCCCACTTTTGACGCAAGGCCTCATGGGGCGTAGGAAACTTGTGGATAGAAACATGACGTTTCAGGGATGAAGTATGAAATGCCTGCCATCGAACAAAATTTGACACCCAATTTGATAAAATCGTCCGTTTTATTCAGTACCGCATCTTGTCCAGTAAACTCGACTGTGGAGCTTAGAGGGTCAGTGTTAAAATGATACACACAGGCTATGATCACAATGGAACACTGGTCTACAATTTATTGAATAATGTGCAGTATGCACTAGGGGATAGCGGGGCACAACCTAACGCTTTTTGGTTTTGGCTCAATTAATTAAAAAATAATTAGGTTAGATTAATACTTTTTTTTACACAAGCAACATGCACATCTCTGCTACAAATGAACACTTAAAGTTTTTTTCTAGGACCTACCATTTTCGTACAGTTGGACTGAAAGTGACAGAAGTGCAAATGTTACAACTTACCACATATGCGGGGTTAATTGTAACAGACAGAGGGGTTAGTTGTAACACTTGTGTGTACATAATTCAGTACTATTTTATTTGTATAGTTTGATATTGTTTGTGCATCTGTATAGACAGATATCCATACATCCATCCCTCATCCAATCATACTTCTATTATGGATCAATATCATGGATAGAGACATAGAAAAGGGCTGCATAGTTTTGCAATAAATAATAATAAATAAAATTATAAATATAGTAATTTCAATTAAATTAGATTTGTGTGTGGCAGCTGCATGATGTACAATTATTATTATTATTATTAATAACAGTAATGATAATACAAATGAGCTTAAAATAAAAATTTAAAGGGTTTATTGCATTAATAACAGGCCATATTTTTAATAAATAAACAAGTTATCATTCATAGTACACTAAATTTTAAACATTTTAAATCCCAACATTGTTTGTGAAAGTCTAACAAAGTTAAATGTATAAATAAACACTCAAACCTGAAAAGTTGTGTGGCTCCGTTTTCATTTGATTATCATTGTACACTTGGAGGCTTAGTTGTAACACTCTGTTAGAATTAACCCCGCTGTGTATTACATATTTTAACCCTAGCTAACAGTCGCTAGGAATAGCTGACATGTTTGAAAACGGTGCTGTGTTTGAGCCAACAAGACAGTGATTAAGGCAATATAAAGTTAGATTTGGAAACGTATACACCCAACTCAGAAACCGAAAAAAATTTATGATGAAAAAAATTACTTTCATGGTGTCAAAACACTCTTTGTCAAGTATCTTCACGAAATATAATCAAAACCTTCCGCAAATTCGCAGGAGACTGGAGACAGTCTTCTGGCAGCAAGAGAAAAATAGCGGAAAGACGGCCGGCTTGATCCTGGCGAACTATGTAAACGGTCCGTGTTACATTTAACCCCGCGTTAGGTTGTGCCCCGCGCTCCCCTACTGTATACTCATTTTAAAAAGTGATGTATTATTTCATAGTTTCAAACTATAGTATGCACTATTTCTGTCACACCTCATCAAGTAGCATGTGAGTGGCACTCAGTTATCATCTAATACATCTAATATATATATGCTATCCTGTGCAGTGTGTTCAAATGTATCCTGCACATTTTGAAACATGTAGTAAGTCATGCAGCAGAACAAAACTTTTGCATTCTGTGCACATTATACATATTAAATACTTCAGCAACAGTTAAAGTAGTATGCGATTTGAAACAGAGACATATTTCCAGGAAATAAAGGCCGTTGCATTCCTTGCAGCTGCGGCGTAAGAGGCGTAACGCCATAACACTCGCCTAGATGACATTATAGCAGCACGCTGGATCCTTAACACTTCTTATCCCTCACTTTCTGGCACGCAGGCCAGCTTTTGCTGAAACCTCGCTGACAGATCGACAAAACACGCACTGCAAACAGGAAACAACCCCCCTTCCCTCACCCCCCCCAAAAAAAAAAAAAAAAAAAAAAACAACAACAAACAAACACACACACTCATGTATACACACAAAAAAAAACTTATTTTCTTTCTAAGTATAGCCTAATATTCCAAGATTAAGCTTTCTCCTTAATTATTTTCATTTTAATTAGTAAATCTTAATTAACAATGAACATTTACCCTTAAAATTTTTGGCGTGAGAATGAAGGAGGGTGGGGTGGGGGGGTTTGAGGGGGGGATCTAGTGAATAAATATGACAATCTTTTCGAGTCCTGAAGGCAGGATTACCGATGCAGGCAGGCTTAGTTATTAAACACGTTCTAAATTAAATGCCTCCATGAATTTTGTACAGAAATATATTTTCATAGTTTTGCATGCCAAATGTGACATTTTATATTTGAGATTCATCTGCCACTGTAATTTTGGAAATGTCATATAAACAAAGATTTTGTCATTTACCAATGAAATTACTATGCGTGGCAGGTCGACCATTGCTTTTCTGGCTGTGCGGGTTGTTTCAAGTCAGCAAGCCATAAAATATCTTTATCTCTCTGAAACACAGCAATTTGAGAGATAATGGAACAGTGACTGGGGGGCACGGATGCCAGGCTGAGGAATTATACTACAATCTCACTGCGTTTACTGCCTCCCTCAAAGCTGACTCTCTGTCTGCAAACCAAAGCTGCAGTTACGGTTGAGGCCTTCTTACAGGAGTCATTACAACGCAAAACCTCGCCGCGACAACTGAACCATCTACTTTGGCTGATGTCCTCTTCCTTTAGATTTGGTTAAATCAGAAGACTTAGGTGCAGCTACCTGTTCCCATACGCTTTCATTCCTTGCATATTTTCAGGAAACGTGAAATATGTCTGTCCCCATGACTGATGTCATTAACAGGATACTGAACTTAATCACGTTATTTGATTCAGCTCTATTTAGCGTGTATTTAACTCGAAAGAACATTTAAAACATTCACGTTATTTCTACCTTTGTGTTCTTTCTTTATAATTTCAGTCAATTTGCATGTGCCCATTTATCAGCATTACGTTTAAATAGGTTCAAATATAATGTGTGCTTTCACTATTATTGCTGAATTTTTCACTATTATTGCTGAAATTTTTTGACATTTCTGCCTTTTAAATAATGGTATGATCTTTCTGACATCGAAGGGAATGACATCAGTCTTGTACGACCACATGGTTCAAACAGAGGCAGTTAGTTGCTCAGTATATAATTGATTGGCATCCTCTTTTTCCTATAACAAAGCTTAAAGAAATACTATTGTTCTTGGCAACAAATGAAAGAATACTGTCTGTAAATAATGTGCTGTGGTGCAATATTTGCTACTCTGGTTGGTTTGCTAGTTGGCAATAGGGCTGTCAAAACGATTAATGGCGATTAATCGCATCCAAAATAAAAGTTTGTGTTTACATATTATATGTGGGTGCACTGTGTATAATTATTCTATATATATATATATGTATATAAATACACACACATGCTTGTATATTTTTAAGAAATATGTTCATGTATATACTGTATATGAAGAGTTCAGATGCAAAAGTCTCTAAATGCCATTTGAAATTTTCTACTAAAATGACCATTTTTATCAAGCTTGTATATTTAAGTTCAGTAATTTCACTTGTCATTTAAGTGAAATTACTGAACTTAAATATACAAGCTTGATAAAAATGATCATTTTAGAAGAAAATTTCAAATGGCACTTAGAGGCTTTTGCATCTGAACTCTTCATATAGATTTAGATATAATTTATATTATATATAAATATAAATTTGTATGTATATTTTTTTTTCTTAAATACACATGCATGTGTGTGTATTTATATATATATATATATATATATATATATATATATATATAAATAATTATACACAGTGCACCCACATATATTATGTAAACACAAACTTTTATTTTGGCTGTGATTAATCGCGATTAATTGTTTGATAACCCTAGCAATTAGACAATTTGCATTGCTTTCAAATTTTAAATTGTTATATATTGTGCTGTTCATTATAATGCAGTTTAAAACTGTGATACTTCAAGCTTTTCATAAAGGCAGAGATATGTCCACTGCAAGAGAAATGGTGTGTATGTGCGCGTGCATGTGTGTGAGTGAGTGAGTGTGTGTGTACCTGCCAGTGAAGTGGCTCTGTGTTTTCATTCTCTTCAATAATTTCTCCATATTGGTCGATGATCTCAGCCTGCTGTTGACGCAAAGAATTTTGCAAGCGATTCTCCGCCCTGATAATACACATACAGACACATGTTTACTTTGCTATCGAAATGAGGACACACCATACAATTTTTAAATTATTCTTCCAATTGAGGATGTCAACAAAAATAATTTTATTAAAAAATATATATATATTTTTTTTTAACCCAAATGTTAAGCAATTAGTACAACATCAGCCAAACCATTCAAAATCAAATAAATAAAGTAATATCAGATATCCAGGCCACACTAGATGACAGATTCTACAATGCTGTGACTGAAAGTGTTGGAAATCTTTAAAAAATGGATGTGTCATAACATTAATTGAATACTGGTGGTGTGGTCTTGATCTGATACAGAAGTCTAATATGACTAACAGCCATCCAGCGCTAATATGAGAGGACATGGAGAGGGTCATCTAACAAACCTCTGTACCAGTGTCCAACTAACATCCCTGATTTCATAAGATCAGTCTGTGTGGCGCTGCACAATTATTAAAAACTTAAATACAGCCGAGCCTGCAGGCCTGACACTCAGAAACAGAGAGAGAGCGAGAGAGAGAGGGATGTAGACTGAAGTGAACAGGATGAAATTGATGCTACTTTGCGTCCAATGACACGGACAGATTTCCTCGCCTTTGGCAACTTACCCAGAATTCACTGGTAGAGACAATACAATGTGGAGTATATTACATCTCCTCACAAATGTCAGCAAAATGTAAATGGCTTTGGAAACACAGATTAATGATTATTTCACATCAGATTGGATGTAGAGAAATTTACGCACCGCTGGAACACAGAGTACAGTCTGTCCTGCAGAACGGCTTCCTCTGCGTCTATGTGCCTGATCTGCAGAAGCAAATATTACACATTTGAATATTACGAAAACTTTCTTAACAAAAATTGTATTCAATATTTTGAAGAACCATAATTTTAAAATGTGACGTAGTACACCAACTTCAACAGTGACTGTGTCACTGTAAAAATGATAATGTAGAGTAAAACGTTTCACTTACTAGCAGTGCAAAGCAACGTAAGAATAATGTTAAGATTTAAAGTAAATTTTGCTGTTGTTATGACATATGCGTCTTGCTCAAATAAATTAACACAATGGTTATGATTGGGACGGAAAACTACTTTATAGCTTACAAAATACTTTTTTTTTTTTGCAGAATAGTATTAAATCTACACTAAATATATTAGCAATAACATCATATGGTGATTCTGTCTATAACAAAACTGCGCAAACTGTTAACAGTAAACATGTTTTTTTACAGCAGAAATAGTACTATTATTATGGTAGTATGCTATTCCCATAGAATGTGTGCATGTATTTTATTAAGAATGCTTGCTATTTATGTTCTATGGCATATAATTGTATAGCATTGTCCATGTTAGCCTGTGACTGTGTGTTTGAGTGATAGTAGTGTGATTGATGGGGAAAGACAGCAGAAGGTCTCAGCAGCAGCTCCTGTACCTCAGGAAATCTCATTTGACATACCTACAGTAATCTTTCCTTTTTCTGGACACACATCAGTACCTTTGAATTTCCCCTTAAGAACGACATTACTCTCTGCTTCCTCGCCCACACCTTTCCCTCTGTCTTCCCTCGCTCTGAATGCTCTTCCTGCCAAAAAGGAAAATCCATGTTCTTGTTTAGGACCAACACACTGCATTCTGCAACTGTATGTGCGGCTAACTTGAATTCAGAACATCTAAAGAGACTTGTTAATACAATCTTCAGGCAAACCCTACAGACACACACCACAGAATTCAGTCAGCACGTGTTAAAAGACTTTATTTACTAGCTGACTGACAGTGGTACATCCTGTGCTGCTTAAACACACATTATTGTGAAATAGCTGTGGAGTGTGGTAGGGGTAATGTTGTGTTTTCCGAACAGTTGGAGAGCAGAATAAAGCTCGTATCTGCAGTCGCACATAAAGCAAGAGTGATTATTCAACACACGCCATGACTCAAACATAACCATTACATTCCATCCGCTCGTTACGCATTCATTTCTCACTTCAACTTCACATTCTCTATTTAATGTGTATCTCTTAATTCGCATTTCAGTCATATGTTGCCAAAGACTGATTACAGCTTGAATATGTTGGCTAATTCTGATCTTGTTCAACGTAATTTAGCATTTTGTGTTTTTGACAACTCCTCCATATGGAAAAACATTCAGTTGAAGATTGAAGCGCCTAGAATATGACCTGCAAAATCTCAGATAAGCTGACAAGCTCCAGATTTTTTTTTAGCTTTGGTTTCAAATGAAAAACAAAACAATAGTTTCTCTGCAGACATAAATGACATGAAATTATTGTACACTATATTACCTATAAATGTACATTCACGGAGGGTTTTCACCATAAACAATACATCTGGGCCACGTTTACAAATAAATATACACCAAAACAATGTATAACCTAATATATAATACAAAATAATAACATAGAATACAAAATTAAAGTAAAAAGTCACATTGTGTCTACTCAGTGAGCCTTTTAAGGCAAGGAAACACTTTCTAAAGATGGGCAGTATGGTTATGTTGTACTTTAAGACAATTCAAGCTCAGTGAAAAACAAATTCAACATACATAGTGGATGAAGTGAAAAAATGTTGATTGCAAATACAGCTTAGCAACATGCTAATATATGTACAGTAAAACTGATTGAAAACAAATCCAAATCAATTCACTCATTTTAGTCAGGATGGTGCAAGGTAACTTCTTAGACAGTACAAAAACTGCTCATGCAGTTGATTTGATTCCAAATTGTGTCATGTCCCATTTGTCCCATTCCCTCCATTTGTCAGTTAAAAACTGAAAAAACCAACCCGATCTCACGACCAAGTCGTACGAATTCGACGAATGATTAAAAAGTGGCTAATTAGTAACAATTCATACGACCTCACTCGTACGAATTAATACGATTTTGCTAAATCGTACATATTTTACGAATTGGCCAATTCGTATGAATTCATACGAATGACCTACCCCTTACCCCGCCCCTAAACTTAACCATCACGTGGGTTTAGACAAATCGTACGAATTAGTACGAGTGAGGTCGTACGAATTAGTACGAATTAGACACTTTTTAATCATGCGTCGAATTCGTACGAATTGGTCGTGAGATAGTGTTGAAAAAACGGCTAAAATAACACAAGTAAAAGCATAAAAACTGAGAGTGCTTAAAGAACAGTATATTCTGAACAAAACCCGATAGCTTTGTAGATTAAAATACAAAGTTTGTTGCGTCATCTCTCGAGATATGCGGACTATGGAAGTCCTGAACCGCAACATAAAGAAAAACGTCGAAATGTTTCGAGATTAAAGCCGAAATGCATCGAGATTAAAGTCGAAATGTTTCGAGATTAAAGTCGAAATGTTTCAAGATTAAACTCGAAATATTTCAAGATTAAAGTCAAAACATTATGATAATACAGTCTAATTCAGTCTAAAGTGTGTGCATTAACAGTGCGCGTCCACTGGCTCAGAGTGCACATGCGTGTGTGTGTGTGTGTGTGTGTTTGTGTGTGTAAAGAAATGCACTTGTGAAGTCGAACTGCCATGGATTAACACAAAATAGTAGCTTTTACTTTTAAAAAGTGTTTTTGAGGTGATCTCGTGCTCGTCTAGGCTAGGCAACACTATCTGGGTTGAGAACACTAGTAACTGTTCTGTCTCTCTCTTCACCAAAAATACATTCTGGATACATTTTAAATGCATCATTCTGTATCCAATCATTTGGCCGGATCCTCTGATTTCCTCAGATTTAATAATCACTAATGGTTGAGGAGAGATTCTCTGATATGATTATAAAGCGCTTTGAGTGTAGGCCTAGTAGACATTTGAAAGCGCTATATATATGCATCATTCATTCATTCATTCATGTATGCATAAAGCTGGATTTCTCCATCCAGTCTGAAAAGTGTTTTCCGGTTTGGTTTTCCCTTTGGCTAAAGTCTAAGTCTAGCACTGTATTCTCGTACTCTCGTCTCTCAAAATATTTCGACTTTAATCTCGAAATGCTTTGACTGTAATCTCTGGATAGGCAGCTCTTTGACTGGAATCTTTGACTGGATTTCCCCATCCAGTCTGAAAAGTGTTTTCCGGTTTGGTTTTCCCTTTGGCTAAAGTCTATTCCGGCGCACGAATGCCGAAGCACGCAGCTTCTACGGAATACTGTATTCTTGAACTCTCGTCTCTCAAAATATTTCGACTTTAATCTCGAAATGTTTCGACTTTAATCTCACAATGTTTCGACTTTAATCTCTCAATGTTTCGACTTTAATCTCTCAATATTTCGACTTTAATCTCTCAATATTTCGACTTTAATCTCGAAATGTTTCGACTTTAATCTCGAAATGTTTTGACTGTAATCTCTGGATAGGTAGGCAGCTCTTTGACTGGAATCTTTGACTGGATTTCTCCATCCAATCTGAAAAGTGTTTTCCGGTTTGGTTTTCCCTTTGGCTAAAGTCTATTCCGGCGCACACATGTCGAAGCACGCAGCTTCTACGGAAGACTGTATTCTCGAACTCTCGTCTCTCAAAATATTTCGACTTTAATCTCGAAACGTTTCGACTTTATTCTCACAATATTTCGACTTTAATCTCGAAATGTTTTGACTGTAATCTCTGGATAGGTAGGCAGCTCTTTGACTGGAATCATTGACTGGATTTCTCCATCCAATCTGAAAAGTGTTTTCCGGTTTGGTTTTCCCTTTGGCTAAAGTCTATTCCGGCGCACACATGTCGAAGCACGCAGCTTCTACAGAAGACTGTATTCTCGAACTCTCGTCTCTCAAAATATTTCGACTTTAATCTCGAAACGTTTCGACTTTAATCTCAAAATGTTTCAACTTTAATCTCAAAATGTTTCGACTTTAATCTCACAATATTTTGACTTTAATCTCGAAATGTTTTGACTGTAATCTCTGGATAGGCAGGCAGCTCTTTGACTGGAATCTTTGACTGGATTTCTCAATCCAATCTGAAAAGTGTTTTCCGGTTTGGTTTTCCCTTTGGCTAAAGTCTATTCCAGCGCACGTATGCCGAAGCACGCAGCTTCTACGGAAGACTGTATTCTCGAACTCTCGTCTCTCAAAATATTTCGACTTTAATCTCACAATATTTTGACTTTAATCTCGAAATGTTTCGACTTTAATCTCAAAATGTTTCGACTTTAATCTCACAATATTTTGACTTTAATCTCGAAATGTTTCGACTTTAATCTCAAAATGTTTCGACTTTAATCTCACAATATTTCGACTTTATCACAATATTTCGAAATGTTTTGACTGTAATCTCTGAATAGGTAGGCAGCTCTTTGACTGGAATCTTTGACTGGATTTCTCCATCCAGTCTGAAAAGTGTTTTCCGGTTTGGTTTTCCCTTTGACTAAAGTCTATTCCGGCACACAAATGCCGAAGGAAGCAGCTTCTATGGAAGACTGTATTCTCGTACTCTCGTATCTCGAAATATTTCGACTTTAATCTCGAAATGCTTCGACTTTAATCTCAAAATGTTTCGACTTTAATCTCACAATATTTCGACTTTAATCTCGAAATGTTTTGACTGTAATCTCTAAATATTTCGACTTTAATCTCAAAATATTTCAACTTTAATCTCGAAATGCTCGATTTTTTTTTTTTTTTATTACACATTTTTTTTTTTTTTTTTTTTTTTTACAGATTTTTTTTAGGTTGTGGTTCAGGGCTTCCATAGCAGACACACTGAAGACTGGGTATAATAAGTCCGGCTGTGATATGAGCAACTTCAGAGCACAGATCATTCTGACCAGCAGAGGCTTATGGGCTTATTTATAACTGACCTGTTCCAGCACAGGTTTGCCCACTGGGATCATGTCTTTCTGCACACGCTCTCTGAGCTGCTCCACATACTGAGGGATGACCTCCACTCTCCTTTCCAGCAGTTCAGTCCAACGTCGATCCCTCAATCCATCCTCAGCCACTGGTTCAACATCCTCAACATGCTCAGACACCATCATACCTAACATACACATGCACTATGGTTATACAGTGAAGACACGTCAAACACAAGTCTGAAAAGTCAGTGATAGTGATGTTAAGCCCCGCTCAGAGGTTTAGACACATCCCTCATCTGAACCAAATTACACAAAAGCACGATTTAATTAAACCAGTGAGTTAATCAAACTGAGTAGTGCTAATGAAGCCCTAATGTGATTGCACTAGCTTCACAGTGCTACACAACACACAAATGGGGAAACACCTGGATCAAGTGCAAAGATACATATTAGCTCTGTTAAAAAAACCTAGAGAGCTGCCTACCTAGACAGCATTTTAAGGCAATCACGGTGCTTATGTAATGGATGTTCAAAAATATAGATACCTTCTTTTGGGCCAATTCTAAGGTAGCACAGCATGTATCCTTCATGCATCAAGCAATCTCAAAATAGATTATGACAGGCTCAGTGAAAGCATTTATCCACGATGGCAGAAGCAGCAAGATGCTGGTTTGGTTTAACGTGCAATTTATTTAATACCAAAAAGTATTAATACAAATAGTTAAATTCAGTCCAAATAAAAATAGATTTTATTATAGTCCAATATTTGTTTATATATTATTACTCTTAGCATAATATTACAACTTACATTCAACTCTTATGAAATCAACTGCTCTAAAGGAGGAGCTCTTTTTTTATTTATTTATTTATTTATTTATTTATTTTTTACACATACTATTTGGAGTGTTCCAAATCCAGAAGTAGACATCAAGACGGCTATCATGGTTTTGGAACAGAGAACCTCACAAGTTGGTTGCATTGGGTCATGGGGCACTATTTTAACGATATAAGCACATGGTCTAAAGCATACGGTGCGAGTGCACTTAGGGCATGTCCGAAACCATTTTTGCTAGTATAATGGGGGGTGATGGCGCAGTGGATAAGACACATGCCTTTGGTGTGAGATACCCAGGTTCGAATTCACTGTGAGACACCAAATTGTCCCTGAGTGTCACTAAGTGTCCCAAAGTGTCACTTAAGTTGATCCAAAGGCGTGCAACCTCTGACATAGCAATTGTAAGTTAATAAAAGGATAAAAGTGTCAGCTAAATGAATAAATATAAATGTAATGACAATGAAAATGGTTGGCACACCCAGCCATGCATGGTCTAAAAGGGTTGCCCCTATTCTCTTAAAGAGTAATGAGTGTGTTTTGGGCATAAAGTACAATAAACCAATCAGAGTCTCATCTCCCATTCCCTTTAAAAGCTAGATGCGTTCACGCCATGTCATATTTGCTATTTACATGGCGGTATTTCCAAGCGTAAAAACTGAACCCTTCTCTAGCGTTCAGTTTTTCCGCTTGCAAAAAGGGAAACGGATCTGCTCATGCACGAGGTTAAAGCGTGCGAGAAGACCATCTAAGGACAAAGTGTACGCGCATTGTGGACCGGACTATAGATGCACATTACTAACACGCTCTTTAAATAACAAAAAAAAATATTGCGCCATTGACCAGGTTTCAGTTGGTCAATGTGAATGTCCACTGTCTATTTTTGTTGCCTCAAAATAGCAACGCGCCAACAATGTGCCTGAACACACCTCGTTTTGTGAACACTTGCGTCGCGCCTTGTGCTGCATTGCGTCGAATGTATGACCCATGATGTTTTGTCTGCCACTGGAAAGAATATTTGAAGTGCCAAATGGGTTCCCCTAGTTATACTCATTGCATACTGGACTGTGCCCATTCTGCTAATGATGCTCCAAACCCCATTTAAGTGTTAGAAGTGTGGAGAGATATTTAGAGAATTACCAGACTTTGGACTACAGGAGGTGGCGGTGAAGAAGGCTTGCAGGCAATTGTCTCAAGTCTATTGTGATTGTGTTAAAGCCTTATGGATGGATGCTACCCATGATCGTCCTCCTCCTTCTACTGTTTGTGTGTTAATCCTGTATCCTCTTTCCTTCTGTTTCTTTGAGGGATTTTATGAGCATTCTAAGACAAAAGTGAAGAGGCTAATCTATATACTCCAGCTAAATCCACAACAATCCAGTTGAGTGTTAGACAGCTAACACCGTATTCGTGTGTACCGTGAGGCCTAAACCCAATGACGGTCTGGCAAACCAATTACAACTGCTGTGCGGTACCTCAACCGATCCACTGAGAGCATTTTACACCAAGACAAAAGCAGCATAAGCCCGACACTCTACTTGGGAGAGAGACTTAATCCGACCCTCTGCTAATGGGACAAACACTGGAGTCACACACAACAATGGCTCTCGCACAGGAAGTTGAGCTCAGTGCCTACCTGAGAGCTCAATGCTTTTTTGGGGGGAATTACAACAAAAGCATCCTGCTGGGTAACAACATCCTACATGTAGAACCACATGCATCTCATAATGAAGTTAAATAAAAGACAATCAATATTTTGTAAATCTGACAGGTGTAATTTATTTCCACAACATTCACATGTCTTCACAGAACAGAGCGTTGTTATAAGTTCAGTCCAGTGGAAAATTCTACTGCTCAATGGATGCTCTTTCAAAGTTCATATGATTTATATTTCATTAAAGCATATACTCTGTTTCAGAGGTGTCTCCTAAAATTCCTAATGATAAGAACAAGCAAATTTTCTATTTGATCCCATAGATGGCTGGATAAAAACAATTGAGACATTTACGACATTTTTTGTTTTCTTTCCAAAAATCTTTACCTGGTAAATCTATGACAGTGGAGGCGTCTTCTTCCTGAAACATTTCGGAAAGTTTCTCATAAAGGTTCCTCTCATCTTCATTCATGAACTCTGGGAAGAAAAATCAAATTTGAATAATATTTCAGCTGACGGATGGTACATTTTATTGCTGTGCTCTCAAACACCTCTCACTGTCTGATTTCGCATGGATTGCGAAGTCCAAATGTAACATAAAGGAACATATGGCATGAATTTCCAACAACTGACACTAATTCCTGACCTTCATTTACATTAAATGATTATAGCTCAGAGCTAATAATAACACGCTAGTAAGTCCAATGTAAGTCATTTGACAGCAATGAAATTTATGCAAAATATCATTTGAAGGTCCCCCCACCTCTGGAGTGTCATTATCAAAGGTTTGCAGGTTTGTGAGGATTGTGTAATATTACAGGATGGTGATGTCCAACAGATATAGTCAAAATGGCTTTTCTGTTAATAGCCATGTTTCATTATAACATGCATATGACTTTGCTCCCGAGAGCACGCTTTTAATAGACGCGCTGAGGTGCACATAGCGATATTGGAAGGAACCCCCTTCATTTAAAGGAAGTTAAGGAAAGCATGGGGATCGGAAATGGAACTGACCAATGACAGGTGACCTTCGGCAATGACAGTCACAGCGTCGCTCAATCTTGTGGCCCATTGGTAAAAGTATTTACATAGACCGGCCCGCCCAACACATTCTGGCAGGCTGTGAGTGATCTCGCTCACCCCGCTTTAACGAACTGAGACGGCCTATTACGAGGAAAAAAATGGCATACTTAATTCCAGCTCATCTCTGCCTCCAACCCCAGTCATCCTGGACCGCCTTGGGTCACCCTCCACCGCCGACGAGGGGTCAAAGTAATTTTGGGCACCTTCATTTCCTGTGGAAAGTCCAGGCGGGCAAAAGAGAGAAAAGAGAAAGTGAGGGGGGTTGATGGTTGGTGGGCTGGGTGAAGTTAGTGATTATTAGAAGCACATGATGTGAAAATGTTAATTTTGAAAGTCCACACCGCTCTCGCCGGCTGGCACAGGCTACCTGATAAGGCCCCGCTCGGTCACGTTTCCCTGATCTGCGCTCAAGAGGGCCCGACGCTGCTCAGGGGCCTAATTAGCATGCTAGGAAAGGTCAGAGCAGGCAATCTTTTAAACACAACCTGCCATATGTTACCTGTGTTCAAAAGAACTAATAAGAAACGTGTATAAGTAAAGCAGCCCTGAATTTCAAAGACAATACTCTAACACTGCTCCGGGGTCACCGGTCAGAGAAAGAGGGAGAGAAAGCGAGAGAAGGGGCGACAAAGCAAACGCTGTATCCCATTGACTTCTTATTAGCAATTGCTGACCTTTGGGCATCAAAGCGTCTTACCAGAGTTTTATAGAAATCCAGCAGCTAGAGGGTTATTCCTGTTAAACAGTTACTGCTCTCTGCTCTTCACTACTCAACACCTACATATCTCAACCCCAGGTTTGGCATATTGGCTCGAAAAGCCGTGAAAGATGCTTCCGAGCAAACCTCAACTATAAAAGAGCTGATATGCTTCGAATTTCAGGAATTCCACAAATTAGCAAAACTGATGGCGGTTAACGAAAAAGGGACCTGAAATAGTTGGCTTTCAATGAGAGCTGTCAAGTATTTCAAACTAGAAATAAAATCAGTAATAAATCTGACTTCTAAAACAATATAAATATATATATATATATATATATATATATATATATATATAAATAAATCATGCTAAACTTATATTTCTCAGTCTCATCCTGCCAATGAGCATTACCTTCTAACAAAAAGGCAGCTGGATCTTTAAACCCCAAAATGGGACTTTTATATTTCTTCAGCCATAGTGAAAGTTGCAATTTCTCTAATCAATTTATCTAAAAGTATATCCTCCTACTCGTACTGTCTCAGTTTCTGGCGTCATGAGCAAAAGCGACTTTTGGCAATGCAACAAAGTTGTGTTGACTTCATGCAAATGAGCTGCGATGTGAGGCTGCAACTGCCAATGGGAGAGCGCACAATGATCCCCCGCCTGATACAGATCGACCTCAAGCGATTTAAACGTTGTTAGTGAGAACACCCCATTTGACTGACATTCACCCATCAAATAAATTAAAGTGACTTGAGTCTTGAAGTAAAGCACTTTCCACGGTAAACACAGTTTGGCTTCAATATCTGTTTTTGTTGGAAGGGGCTGAGCATTCATATTTGCATAACGTTGGCGGTCTTTGAAATGATGTCTTTGAATTATATCTTTGATTTAACTATGGCCTGGCCATCTTCCAGTGTTTCTCATCTTTAATCAAACTCTCCTCTGTTCTTCATGCACACTATTAATAATGCAGAGCTGCAACGAAGTTTGATGCAGCTAGAATAACACTGATTTGTTAGGGAGCCTGCTTATAGATTTTCGGTGCGGAAATCAGGCCATTTTCGTACATGTAAGTAAATACATTCTCAAATACTGTACATGCTGACAGAATTTACAAAAACAGCCAAAAGACATCTTCTCTTAGGACAAAATGATCTGTCCTTTCTATATATATTTTTTTTTCTTTTGCAGTGTGAAATGAACGTTGATGTAGTATTTATCAAAGGAATTTAACACAGCGGTTTTACTTTTGAAATTATGCATAGGCGAAAGCTAAGGTTTGATCTCAGCTTGAATTTGATAATCATTTGAATTATTTACATGCGGGAATATGCCTGCCAGCTAAAACACTATGTTCATTCCAGTGCTCTGTGAGCTTTCACAACGCACACAAAGACAGGAGCCGTCTGAAATTTAAACTCCACTCCAACTGTATCTTCTTCTGTTTTTTGATTATTTACTTGCTCCGTTGCCTATTTTGTGCTTTCCGTTGTATTCTATATTAAATCTCTGTTATTAGTAATATAAAATTAGTTAAATGAGAAATAAACTACATTGTAATTAACTCGCATGTTGAAGTACAGGAACTGCAATCACCTACACGTATCTGTTTTATATATATATATATATATATATATATATAATTATTATTATTAATGCATCAGTGGTGTGCAGTGCTGTTTCAAAATGAGGAAGCAATGTCCTCACAGTTTTATTTAGAGTCCCCCTGTGGTGAAAATCAAGCTTTAAAGTTGTGTATTAATTAATGTGTGGTGTTTTGAAATGTGCTTTAAATAAACCACGTGCAAATAGAGTGCCGAAGTCACTTTGTAGGCCAAAATGCGGAAGGGAGTTGGCATTTTAGCAGTTCTGGTTCCCTCGCCCTTAAGTCTATGGGTTTTTTGAATGGGTTTTTGCTAAATCACCTGAAATAAGGTCTGTGGGTTAATAAGGTTTTTTAAACTTTATTATGTCTGCTTGTTGTTGTTTTTTTTTAAAAAACTTTATATAGGCATCAAAATATATACAATTTGAATGAACTAAAAAAGATTACAGTAAAGATTATCTTGATAGACACAACATGTAGGGGTCACAACTCCTTGTTGAACACAGATCTTATTTATTTTATTTTTTTTTTGCGATTTTCCAAAAGTCTTTTGGGGAAAATGCATAGCTTTTCGATCGAGGGAACCCATGCACCGCAAACGTCCGAGCAGTCCTACAAAGTGATGTCAAAACTTCGGCACTCTATTCATAAGTCAGCACCAATGCTGAGTATTTTCTCCTTGTTTCTGACATCACAAAATACATCACGTAAATGTGCTGGTGGGCTTTAGCATATCATTAACAGCCAACTAAGGAATTAAAGGAGAACTCCGGTGTGAAATCAACCTTTGGTCTAATAAAACAGTGGTCCCTAGTCAACCGCTCTCTGAGATTTGTTTTCATGATAATCAAATGTAAAGAGTTTTATCTCTAAAAACTGTTTAGTGTATAAAGCTAGTAAATGGCCATAAGTAAAAGAAATTGCAAGTTAATACCACTAACATGGCTCAAAATAGCCCCACATTACCACAGTAACATAATGAAGGTCCCTAAATAAAAAAAAGAAGCATTGACAACTTTGTAAGTGTACAGACCGTTTAATAAGAGAAGATACTTTATAAAGACAGTTCACTTCTTGTATACAGGCAGCGCCATTTTGGAAAACAGTCTCGATAAGTCGAACCACGAACGACGTTCAAACAGTTCAGAAGTTCGCTGAACTTCATACAGTTCAACTTATTTGGCACGCTGTTCGTGGTTCGACTTGTCGAAACTGTTTTCCAAAGATATCACTTACTCTTTAACATATGTTAGATATAGTCTAATATTGCTTATCACATTAATCTGACATGGCTAGCTTTTATTTAAATCGCTTATATTACTAAATTGCGCTTGACATTTGTGCTGGCTACTGTATACAGACCACCAGTGCACCATACAGACTTTATCAAAGAATTTGATGACTTTCTATCAGAGTTAGTACTGGCTGCAGATAAAGTCTTAATTGCAACGCATTCTCACCCCAAGGCGTCACCTTTTGACCATGCTTCAACATTTGACGCTTTAGGCGCCCTTTAGCGGCAGTTACATGATGCGATCCTACGGATGGGCTGTTCATTGTTGGTGATTTTAATACACATGCAGATAATAAAAAAGATGCATTGGGATTGGCATTTAGAAACATTCTGAACTATGTTGGAGTTAGTCAACACGTGTCAGGACACACTCATTGTCATAATCATACTTTAGATCTAATATTGTCTCATGGAATCAATCTTAAAGGCATTGAAATTCTGCAGCAGAGCGATGACATCTTAGATCATTATCTAGTCTCATGTATACTTCATTTAGCTAAGGTTGCAAAGCCGACTCTGTGTTACAAATATGTTAGAACTATCACGTCTGCCACTAAAGATTATTAATTGATATTCCTGATCAGTTTCATCTCCTCAGCATCCCAGAAAGCTTAGAAGAATTTGATATTGCGACAGAAACTTTTGACTGTTTTTCCCAGGACTTTAGACACAGTAGCTCATTTGCTCTTAAAGCAGATAAAAGAAAATAGTCCAACGCCATGGTTCAATGAGCACACTCAGTGCCTTCACTCAGAGAGCAGCCAGAAAATGGAGCGCAAATGGAAGAAAACATTGAATTACGTGGAAAGAGAGAGCACGATTGCGTATAGAAATGCCTTAAAAGCTGGGTCTGCTTTCGACTCTCTTAAAAAAAAAAAAAAAAAACACTAGGTATTTATTTGACACAGTGGCTAAATTAACAAGAAATACAACTTCTACTTCTGAATTTTCCAAAGAGCATAGCAGTAACGAACTTCTTTACTTACAAGATTGATAATATTAGAGAGAAAATTATAACTACTGTACTGTATGCAACCATCTACTACAGTATCGCATCAGGCAGTGCATTGTAGTCTCCCTGAGGAAAAAATCCATGCATTCGTTGCAATAGGAGAGGAAATATTGTCTAAACTTGTTAAATCATCTAATCAACAACATTGTTAGACTCCATACCGGCTAAGCTACTGAAAGAAATGCTTCCAGATGTCAGAGATCCTCTTCTTAATGTCATTAATTATTTTTTTTGTCACTAGGATACAGTATGTTTCAAAAACTTTTAAACTGGCTATTATTAAACCTCTTATTAAAAAAAAAATGCAACTTGATCCTAAAGAATTAGTAAATTACAGGCCGATCTCAAATCTACCCTTTTTGTGAAAGATACTAGTATCCTCAGATCTATTTTCCTTTTTAGAAAGAAATGGTTTATGCGAGGATTTCCAGTCAGGATTGAGACCGTACCACAATACTGAGACTGTTCTCATTTGAGTCACAAATGATTTGCTCTTGTCATCCGATCGTGGTTGTATGTCTCTATTAGTGTTACTCAATCCTGTTGCTGCATTTGATACCATTGACCACAACATTCTCGAAAATTGTATTGGCATTGGTGGAATTGCATTAGCATGGTTTAAATCATACTTATCTGACTGTTACCAGTTTGTAGCATTAAAGAAGAAATTGTCTTATTGATCACAAGTTCAGTATGGCGTACCACAAGGCTAAGTACTAGGACCGTTGCTGTTCATTATGTTCATGCTACCCATAGGCTGATATGGCTAGGAACTATACTCTATTCCTGCGTAATAATCAAGAAACTTTACTGCTGTACCATGAGTGCAGCAGGCGTAATGATAAGACGCATCGCCTGAAAATAGTCCCCAGCTAGGTATTATCCTATTTTCAGGCACTGCGACATATCATTACGCCTGCTGCACTCAAGGTACGGCAGTAAAGTTTCTTGATTTTATATCTTGACATCTGAGATGAACAAAAGACATGATCTCTCTCAAATGAATGATGTCACTGTCTCTCAGCTGAAAGTCATGGGTCATGTCAATGTGTTTACTTTCACAAAATGTCATTTGCTCTTTATAGATAATCAGTAAAGCTGAAGTGTGTAATTCTGCACCACTAGTGTCACCAAATGAAATCTAATGTTTTCAAGCACATTCCTTATCTCCATTCAGAAGACAATCTACCAATGGCTTACTTTTTGTTGAAGTTGAAAATAAACAGGGTTACAAGAAAGTATTTGTACAATTATACACTTTTAAACCAGATATCTGATTCATAACCTGCTATGACAGGAAGGCGTATGTTCCCGGTCTAGGTCTAAACTGGATTATTTTAAATGATGAGCAGCGTGTTTAAAACATGATATCATCTCACGCAGATCTAGCACATACACTTTTTTTTTTTTTATCTGCTGCTGTAAATGCACCTATGCTACACAGATACCTGTTGGGACAGGCTGCAGTGGAATGTAAGACCTGCGTTACAGAGGGTGGGAGAGCGTGAAGTTTCACCTCGTGCCGTAACTGTGGCCTGATGTCGCCGGGATACAAGCGTGCTATCGTTCACGCCACCTCTCATCTCACTCTCTTCCTCCGAGTCCTCCTGGAACGCAGGATTCACTGCACCTTCCATCATGGCTCTTTCTGCTGAGGACAGAAAGATAGAACGCATATGAAAATAAAAAGGAGAAGGTCAGAGTGGCACATTATTCCACAGCACATTTAATCACAAACGAAAAATCCCTCCCTCTTAAAATGACACAGAAACACAATGAGGTTAAAATTAAACCCAAATCACGAAGAGGAAGGGTGTGTATAAAAGAGGGAAAGAGAGAAAGACGAAGAAGATGAAGGAGAAGAAGAAGAAGAAATGATTAAAATAATTACAAATTGCGCCCTGACAAGCAAGAGCAAAATTTAGCCCAGAGCCATTTGTCTGTAATTAGTTAATTAATCCTTACACAAATTATGAGCAATAACTCATCACGCGGGACTCACCCATCAGAAATTCAGCCGACTTGGATTTCTTCTGCTCAGGTTGCTCCACAGCCTTCTGCTGCAACTTCTGGAGGGAAATTGTTAAATGAATAAATTAGCTGCAGAATGAAGATCATCATTTCTGATCCGCAACTAACGCAGTATTTTAAATATGGGACGACACGGAAATGTCATTTAATTTACAACGCCGCTAAAGGGGTCAAGCGCTAATTGAACAACAGAGTGGAAGAAACTGGAATCATAAATAGATAAGTTGACATGAATGCCTGATGAAGGTCACATTAAAATACTTAAAATGTCCAACCCCCACCCTCACAAAAATCCCACCCCAACCCGAGAAAAACAACGTTTTCTCCTCCAAAAAAAAAAAAAAAAAAAAAAAAAAAGATGAATTTTTATGCACACTAAATGTTGGAGGTTTGCCGTGCATATGAATATGCAAATCATCATAAACACATTGCAAGCAGCATAAAGGCTCAAACACACAAAGAAGAAAATAGGATGAGAGCCCTTGTACCAAATTAAAAAACATAAACCAGGTTTTCTCACAGAAACTTGAACATCGAAATCTGAAACTTTAACATGTTATGCAGAAATATGAAAAAAATAAATAAAAATAAATAAAGATGTGTACAGAAATATTTGTAGGGGGCAGTCACTTAAATAACCATGCCTTTACTTTTAAAAATTGTTTCTACAAGTCCAACATTAATGTAATAAATGTAAACAACAAAACTTTTTTTTTGTACTTTTTGTGTAAAAAATAAATACAAATGTTTTATATCTGACTGTTTAATCTGTTGTATTCCAGTACACCCTTTCTGTGAATTCCATCATCACATTTTTATTGTAGCTTTTGAGTGGAGTCAAAACAATAACCGCACACTGGAATAAAGAACATGGGTTCAATGTGTTCAACTTTACTTTTTATTCTGACTCCTGAGCAATAACAGTGAAAATGTCCAATAGGGTCTTTGTATTCAAGTTTCATTCAAGTGACTTTAAAAATAAACCAACCATAAGAAATAATCACTGGAGTGTTTAAAAATCATGGAAATGTGCCCCATTAGTCATTAAAAATTATAATAATAACAACAGTCTTTCTTATTCATTATTGAATTATTTTTTTCATGAAATCCGAAATCTGTGATTGCAGTACTTAAATCTAAAATATGTAAATGAGCCCTCAATGGCACAGATTACAGCGATAAACACTGCAAAACATATGAACAGAGCGTACAAATAATCAAAACATAAAACATCATCTTAAAGACAGCAGTTTAAGTGGGAAATGTTTTTCATCTTACATGACAGAGCAATTAAAGTTGAGCAGGACACACTCCAATCTGGAGCAGAGTTTAGAAATCTGCTTTAACATCCAACAAGCCCTAAAGCCACACATTCATTTGCACTGCTGAGATTAATGCTAATCTAATTGTAACTTATTTAAAAACCATTTGCTTTTTCCCCTACTGTCTTCAAATCAATTTCTCCACAGGAAAATGGCGAGACTGACCAGATATTTTAAATGTGTCAATTAAGTATCTTTTTTATCCTCCATTTTTTATGTGTAGTCATTCTAGCATGACCGAAACTTTATTGTTGGAATATTTTTTTTTATTATTATTATTATTATTATTATTATTTTGTACGTTTTGGTGCATGTCCCGCGAGGAAATTTACAAGTGATAATTGGGCCACCACTTGAGAAATAAGCAAATAATGATTTTGCCAAAAGCAGAATGACACATAATTATCCTCACCAATTCAACATTTCATATTATCCGTCCAGCGCTCCCTTACACTGGTGGATTTCAATTATCTCCCAGAAACAAATCTCTTTAATTACTTTCTGAAGTTGTCACACCAGCATTGTCGTATTCCTCTATTTTTCCCTGATGAATTTTTGCACATGTACACATGAACATCCATGACTTTGCATGCATTATAAACCACATTTAGTGTTATAGCGTGACTAACACAATTAATAAAGCTTCTTCGATTTTTTTTTATTTATTTTTTTATCTGCCCTGTTTGGTGCAATACTGCAACCACCAGAGATAAACACTACAACTTTGTTTTAGAAATGATTGTAATAATTGTTATTGTATGCGATTAATGTTTTATTATAAAGTATAAAAATGTCCTGAGAAAAGCCCCCAAATGAACCAGATTATTATGATAGATGAGTAAATCATTTAGTATTAGCTTTAGAAATTTCAACACTGTTCTTAATATCACTGACTGCAAACCTGATACTGGACAACCTACAGCAATCTATTCAATTTAGTGCCATTTACACTGGACATGTTCTTTTGTTTATTCTGCAATAATTATTTATGAATGTAATACATTTTGACCTGGTTGAACAATATTTTAAAATTGATCCAATTACATTTATTCATTTAGCTGACACTTTTATCGAAAGCGACTTACAATTTCTATATATGTCAGAGGTCGCATGCCTCTGAGGCAACTAGGTTAAGTGTCTTGCTCAGGGACACATTGGTGTCTCACAGTGGATTCGAACCCGGGTCTCTCACACCAAAGGCATGTCGTATCCACTGCGCCATCACCACCCGATCCAACATTATTACTTGAAATTATAACGATCAAAGATAAATACCAACGCATTCTCATACTAGAGCGTCATCTAACTGACGCTTTTGACAATGCGTCTAAATCCGACGCACATGGCACCCTTTAGCATCAATATAACACGCTTCGGTTATGGGTAGGTTTAGGTCTGGGGTAGGGTTAGGGTTAGACCACTAGGAGCCGCCTTCTGGCCCATATATATCTTGGCGTCTCATATTGACGCTAAAGGGTGACATGTGCGTCGGTTGTTGACTCATTGACAAAAACGTCAGTATATGACGCCTTGGGATGAGACCGGGCTGTAAATACTGCATTTTTTACTTTAATCTTGTCAAACAATGCGTTTAAAAAAAAAAACATTGTACAAATTATACACCAATAAAAAATGATTTACAAGAAGTCTGTTTCTCTTAATTGTAATCTGTGCCAGCAAACATAAGTTTGGTGTTTGGTCATTTTTGCTAAGACACTCGTTTGGAATAAAGCATGTATATTTCAGTGAATAATATGCAGTTGATGACTCATCTCTCTGTTTGTATTTAAACAGAAACATGCTCTGGGATCAGCAATCTTCTGTTTAACATCGAAATGAATCAACCTTACTGTGAAAAAACAAGGTAATGATCATTATTCATCAGCGGGGCCTTGTGCCAAACTCTGTCACCAAACACTGAGCAACTGCCACATTCTTTTAATATCATAAATACTTAACAAATATACATAGCCAGTGCATCAGCAATTCAGCGTCGGGCTGGTATAAGATGCCAAGTAACCCAGCTGATATCTGCCTTAAACACACTATACAACAAGAAAGGGGTGGTGGGGGGCATCCAGAGGCATCCAGTCTGCTGTTAGAAGTGAAAATTATGCCTTTTCTTTCAATGAACAATGTCACTATATGCTGTGCACTGGACAAAGAAGAGCAAGAAATCCTCTAATGGATGACAAGAGAAATGCATGAGCTTTATAAGAGAATGTGATTGTTGTCGAAAGGAATTGGGAACACGGATGCCTTCTGCAGCCTGGGATCCGTTCGGCTGGGCGTAAGGCTGGTGGGCATAGACCAGTTCCAGAGTGAATTTTGCATACTGTACGGATCATTGCCCAGTTCAGAGCAGTCACATTGAATCTGCCTTCAACCAATTGTGCTTCATGAAACCGTCAACCCTCATTTACGTCTGACTGTTTTCTTCTGCTGGCTGCGGTAAACAAGCCCTACGACAATCTCTCTCTCGCCCTGTTGATGTGCTGACAGCCTCTGTCCTCTATGCTACAGCTTTAACCTTAAGCTTAAACACACACACTTACATGCACGAATCCAAAATCCAGGACTATAAAGCATCGACATTCCAAGGATCTTAATTTGAATGATCTTGTAAAAAGGTGCACACTAAGTACTCTGTAACTCATCTCCCATAAACAGTGACTTCTCATCAAAGAAGCTATTTCATTTCTGTCTGCTGTAAATGGAAAATAAAGAATAAGATGTCCGTGATAACTTACAATATTAGTCAAAACCTGTGATTTTTTTTTTTTTTTTTTTTGGCATTGGACATTTGGGCTCTTACCTCTGTTTTTCTGCATTTACAACAATCTGTAACAGTGAATAATACAGAAATAAGTCATGCGAGGGTGTTACAGTGCTACAAAGTGGTGTTTGTAGGCACCCCAGAGCATGGTAAAATCACTATAACACTACCTCGAATGGGTTACTGGCGGCTACAGCAATAGTCACAGATGTTTAATTTATATTTAATAATATTAATCATTGGAATAAACCATTCATCTGCCAAGTAGCTCATTAGGCTAAATGAAAGCTGTTTACTGTTGCCACGCAATGTAGCAATTTGCATTAATATAGGATGTGCAGTCACAGATGAGTTTATAGAGATTTTACAAGCTTTAAAGCCACTTCATCCAACGGGAATTCAGAACTGTAACTATAGGATTCTCCGATGACACTCATATATGTGTGAATATATTTCACAAACACTGCAATAAGATCTGACTATTTTAAATTCATATTGAAACAAGGACTGATGAAAGTGCTAGCTCGCTTTGTACAGACCCTCACTGCAGCTCTGTCCTCATGTATTTTTAGAGCACTCTTTTTCACAAAATACTAATTGTTGTTAAACTAATAGCTTTATGTCGAACAACAACCATGTCAGTTGGTGAAAACAGGAAAACATAATTAGAATTCAGACTTAATTAATCTACGCTGGCCCCTTTAAGTGAATTAGCCAATTATTTATGCATGTGTGCCCCTTTGATGCTAACTGATTAAGAGGGAAAAACAAAACCTTGAAAAATTACAGAACTTTCTTTGTCGTTTTAAAAATGCCACTAAAAAATAAGAGGGGTGGGGGGGGGGTGGGGTAATTTAGCAAACTTAACTTAAAAAAAATGTGTCAGTTGCTTTGAGTTAAGACGGTTAATACACATACATGTGATATACACACACAGAGAGACTCAGAGTCTAGCCATTATTTCACAATAAATATTCCAAACAATTCATTGTTGTCACAAGAGCTCATCACATTTCATGTGAATGGAAACCAGTTATTCTTTTATATTTTATGCAAAAAATGTCAGCCTAACCAAGAAATAACAAAAAGTGAACATAGCATCTATAATTATTGCCAGTTCATTTGTTACATTCAAGGTCAAGCCAAGTGCACTGCATTGTGTACAATATGTCTGTACAATGTGTTCTGATATTGTACATTTCAGGGTAGGGATGCAACCAAAGATCATTTTGATAATAGATAAATCTAACAATTGTTAGAACGATTAATTGACTAATCATCAATTGTTTGCCCAATTAATCAGTAGGCTTTGATCAATTATTTAGCTTTTGTAATTATTAAAAACGTTGAGTTATACCAACGCATTCTCATCCTTTATCAACAATTATACACTTATAATTATACACTAGAACGCTATATGACAAAACGGCGCTATACTACGCACATGGCACCCGTTACCGTTAATACAACACGTGCTGTGATGGTTAGGTTTAGGTGTGGGGTAGGGTAGGGTAGTCTGATATTACACTAAAGGATTTATGACGCCTTGGGTTCACGTGAATATTAAAGATAAAGGGTGCCATGTGCGTAGTATAGCGCCGTTTTGTCATATAGCGTTCTATGTGACGCTAAAGGATGAGAACGGGCTGGTTATACCTATTTTAACTAATAAATAAAACAAAATGTTTTACGCTTACAGTGATAGAGTGTCCATCGAATGCACACTTAAATATCTCATTAGAAGTAGGTCATCTGGGTACTTTTTGCCTACTCTTTTATGAGTACTGTAAATTCGGACATAATTATTTTGTCACATAGGCCTATACTGTTTTATTCTATACAGTAGAGAAGTATGAAGTAACATTAAGTACGTTTCAGAGTATGCTACAGTGTTGTCACATGACAAACATTGTACAATAAATCAGCACAGCTGTATTTGTTTTTACCTTATAAATAAATGTGCAAATCATTATTTTGTATGTGTGCAAACCTACCTTTTGACTGTTTTCATATAATCCTCTGGTCTTAATATAACCCATACAAATTCTGCTTGTTGGTGTAAGGTTAAGTGATTCTGTGAAATTTTTCACAAAAAAAAAAAATCATTTGATAGGATTTTATTTTGCTAAACAAAAATGTACACTGAAAAAAAAAATTAACATAAACATGTGGTAACATAAATTAAATGGTTTGGCTCATCAAAAATAGAATTATCATGGTTGAATCAAAATGACTATATTAAGCTAATAAGTTTCAGATAAACATGTATCTCCTTACAATAACACCTACCACCGTTTACTGTGTAGAATATAATTATATGTAACAAATAACTTTTATTATATTTTTTATTATATCTAAAATTATTATTATAAGGTAGATTATGCCCCAGCAGCCCTACATATTAGGTAAATAGGTTATATTTTGTCACCATACAAAAAGTATTGATATGCTCATTTATATTTATAAAGATAATATATCATGACTGTCTCAACCCGGCCAGCATCCTACTATGGAAGTCAATTGGTGCCATGAACAGTCTGTCTTGGCGAGCATCAACTGAAGCAATTGAACTCGGGTTCAGAGCGGGCAATCGATCCATGTGTGTAAGCACTAAATACAGTAGGACATCTGGGTGTTCCATGCATACTGTATATGGCAGAAATAGTAAAAGTTGTATGTTAGTATGCACCTAGCCTAGTTTAAATTTAAGCAATGCAATAAAGATTGAGAAGGAAAAGTATAATAAACATGTAAATATGTACTGTTTTGTGTGTAAAACCAAGAAGTGGCTGTCCAGCCCAGCTGAATGAGGGGCCAGGTTGGGATCATGAGAACTCATAGGGATTTTAAATAGGCTTTTTGTTCAGCTACTTGAGAATTCCTCAGCTTTCTGTTATGCCGTTTCCTTCACTCAATTCCCAGCTGACCTCTCACAGGCCATTGCAGCAAATGTTAAATGTGAATGGTAAGTCTGCCTTTGACTTAATAGAAAACTGAAAGCTAAAGGCTCTGACCCCGTATTGAAAGCATACTCACATCCATCGCCACCGAGAGTATGTTTTACTGCTCCTTGTGCGTTGACCTTTGACCTTTACCTGCAGAAACAGAATTACAGGTTTTTAGTGTCATTTGGCTCCTTGTGTTTATCAAGTACGTACAAGCATGTGTCTGTGTTTTAAATTGTGTCAATTCAAGAAATGTTGAAGATTATAATACGTTTGAAGATAAACAAATTGTAGATATGTATATTAAACGTTAAACATTTGGTTTTCTGTGATTTACTGAACATTCTTGTGTAAATTCTGCTTGAATTACTATGTAGCACTTTTTAAAGGTGCAATCTAGGAAATGCTAACTTTAGCCTGCTATTATTGGAGCCCTCCCTGCAAATCGCCATCCAAAGCCACACCTCCTCCAAAACACATGATCGAGCACAGACCATAAAATCGAGATGACCAGAGACATATACTGTGAGAAAAATGTATTTATTTTCAAAGGTAACAAATTATTCCCCCCTTATTGTTTAAGTCCTGTTTATTCATTTCTATCAGATACGGCCTGTTTAGTATTTCTATCTGCTCTCTCTCCATGGTAATTCACATGGCCTGCACAAGTTTTTGCAGAAATAGCAAAACAAACCCCAGGCAAAATGTGAAAGATTATCCCATACTATGCGGGTTACTGTGAAACACTATACTTTTTCACACTAAACGCTGCTCCACCGGGTGCGATTGTAAAACATGTTAAGCTATTGAATCTGCACTTTGTATATATGGGGAGAACTGTGTGTAGTTACAAGTCAGTCGGTGTTTTGGTAATTGTTTCAAATTACATTTTGTGCAATAACAGGGGAAAAGCCATCCGCCACCTCTCCTGCAAAGGCGAACGCAAAGAGCACAGGATATCCCTCTGCCTCACACCTCAGACACGCCAGCTCACTCAAATAAATAGACAGGAAAAGAGAAATGCCTTCCTTTCACTCGCTCTCTCCTGCCGAAACGCTGTCTGTGTGCTTCAATTCATTCCGTAAGTCAGCTCAGCGCTCACAGCACCCATAATTCTCTCTGATGAAGCACTGGGTCTCTGCGGTTTCTCCACATGTGCATCTTATTGGATTACGGATGGGTTTTCAGACCAGTGTTTCTCATTTGCTGATTTGTTTTTTCAGTAAGTAATAAGTTAGGGAGGATGAATATTTTATAGGGGCCATAAAATGCAATACAGCATAAAGGCCAGACAATTGCTAGTAAAAGCTGGTATTTTCTATAAGCCAAATGTTTTTAGCAAAATGACATGCATGCCAGGTTTTCAACCACACAAACACCTGCTGACTCACCGCTGCTCTGCTCCAAAACAGTTTGTGAAGCAATAAAGTCACAGAGTGCAACATATCAAATGATCATCAGTGAGTATATTTGAGCAATCAAGAGGCCGTGTTGTATAATAAAGTCATGGCTAAAGGCTTTCGGAGTGATGCAAAGCAGCGTTGCGACGTTTTAGCTAAGCTTGCGAGTCGCAACAAACTTACTTTAGTAACCTTGCACCATCCATGACCACACAGATAAGCCTGATCATTTAAACCATTTTCTAAATTGTAACTTTTTAATACAGAGCCTATTCATTTTGAACTTCAGGCTAACAAAACAACAGATGTGTGGTTTTATCATTCTAGTTTATTGTGCAATGGTCCGAGGTTCAAATCCAATCTAATAATTTGTTTGTAACTAAACTTGACAGCCAGTGATGATCACTGATCACTGATCTCCATCCACTTGCATGGATTACAAATTAATTTCCAGTCCACTTTTTACACATAAAGAGAATATTGCACAATATATCTTCATTTGGAAGAGTGCTTTATAATTTAGAGAATGAAAAACGCATCTCACAGAGATTCCCTGGCCTTGAGCTAATAGTCTGCAAAAAGTATTTATGTGGATTTATAATAAATATAGAATTAAATGATTAACATATCCAGTCATATTGGATTGACAAAATAAGCTTTTATAGTTTGGAAAAAGCTTGCTTTTTTCTTTCTTTTTTTTTTTTCAACAAGGGTTAATTATACCGAATGGCAATGACTGCTGGACTATAATTGTGCAAATAACCATTAAAGCTACCTTTTGTTACACAGCTCTTTAAAACAATCATTTCTGATTGGCTAAACGCGACAATTTCTAGTCCAGTATTTACAGTATCATGCCTAGAAATTTAACAGTAAAGGGATGGAAAGAAGGCATGGCAGCTTTACAATGTAATGGTATTAAAACTAAAACAAGAAATTAAGCAAATTCGCTTTATGTGCTAAGTGCTTTCTTAAATAATTGAGCCATAGTGAAAGACATTCATCAGAAAAAAAAAAAATACAAAACAATTAAAAGCACTATGGTAAGTGATTATTGTAGTACAGCCTACCATTAGTATACCTTATTTGTGTGCCGAAAGGAAAAGTGATGCATTGTTAAATTGCTTTTTTTTGGCAAAATAGATGCATTTAAAATGCATGATAATACAAGGTGTAACGGTAATGTATCTTAACTGACAACTTGTGATCAGTTCACCGAAAACAGGTGGAATCAGGCACTCTCTCTCGCTCGCTTGCTTGTTTTTCGGGATATTGTGTATAATTTGTGGGTGTCAGGGGGCCGCTATGTGGGAGACACCCGGACCTTCCGGGTGAGGTGGGATGTCTGCGTATGTTTCTTTCTTTGTTAAAAATGAACAAAATGAATCAAAACATAAATCCTTCTTTCAAAACATGTTTTTTGTCTTCCCCTGATTCACTTTGGTAACCCTATTGTGAGTGTTTATATTTTAGACATTAAATAGTAATATAGAAATGTTGGTCTGGCTACTTCGATGTATGTTGTGAGAATGGCATAGGTTAATTGTCGCAATGAGCGAGAAAGGTTGACAATGGAGCACATTCTTGATCTGTTTAAAAAAAAAAAAACAAAAAAAAAAAACAGAGTCTGCAGGCGAAAAAGGTAACGTGACAAGAGCTTGTAATAAAACGAGAATCAACATTGGCTTGGCTTTTCAGATATAGCGATGCTTTTGTTCAATTTAAGTAGCATTAAGACATTTAAGTAACTTTTATAAACGTGCCTTGAAAAAAAAACTTCTTGACACAAAAGAATGGCACTAACATATTTAAAAAGTGTCAGTGCAAGTTGCTCTCATTTAAAGGGGTGATGAACTGAGGAATCAAATTTTCCTTTTGATTTTAACATCTAAGAGGTCAATCTAATTTCCTATTGAGCTTTTAACATCTAAGAGGTCATCATATTATAAGAATATCCTGTAAGTTTCAGAACTGAAAACGTCCTTGTTAGTCCAATAAAAGCTTTTATTGACACCAGCCCCAGCAAACGACTCACAAAGTGTTGAACTATGACGACAAAGAGGATAAAACCCCTCCCCGGCAGAAGAAGATCAACGCCTACTTCAACCAGACTTCAACATGGCCGTTAGCCCCGCCCACCGATTCACGCATTACACGTATAGCCACTTTTTACACATAAACAGAATATTGCACTATATCTTCATTTGGAAGAGTGCTTTATAATTTAGAGAATGAAAAACGCATCTCACAGAGATTCCCTGGCCTTGAGCTAATAGTCTCCAAAAAGTGGATATTTATGTGGATTTATAATAAATATAGAATTAAATGCTTAACATATCCAGTCATATTGGATTGACAAAATAAGCTTTTGTAGTTTGGAAGGGGACTCGCTACAACACCAAGCTTGCTTTTTTTCTTTCTTCAACATGGCCGTTAGCCCCGCACACCGATTCGCGCATAGCTGAATAACATAGATGCCTACCTCGTGATCACAAACCAGATCGAGAGTGAAACTCATTATAATAGGAAAAACTGTTATCCACTCACAGCAGTGGGCGTTTACTTCCAAGTCTTTTAATTCGAGATGCCCATAAAAGCCGATTTAGGGTAGAAAATAGATTACTTATTCATTGTTTGATGTTTTTTAATGTGAAAACCAAGCAAATGTCATAAGTTGACCTCAGACAACAATATAAAAAAATGTAAAAAGCCAGTTCATGACCCCTTTAAGACAGCTCAAACATGTATTTTCAACGCATTCTCATCCTATAGCATCATATAGAACGCTATATGACAAAACGGCGCTATACTACACACATGGCATCCGCTATCGTTAATATAACATGCGCTGTGAGGGCTAAGTTTAGGTGTGGGGTAGGGTTTGAGTGTCATATTCACGCTAAAGGATTTATGACGTCTTGGGTTTGCGTGTTATAGTAACGATAAAGGGTGCCATGTGCGTATAGCGCCGTTTTGTCATATAGCGTTTTATGTGACGCTAAAGGATGAGAACGGGCTGGTATTTTAGTATGGGACTAGGCCCAGCAAGCAGTTTTGCATTTAAAAGATGTCTAATGGCCATCCAAATTCATGTCTCCTCATGTCTAGGCTAAAACAAGGCAAAATTTGGGTTGTCAATGAAAATGTCATAGATGTCTAAACGTAGCCCAAGAATAGAATCATCTGGAACATCAACTTGTCTAAGAAAGGAAAACAAACACCTGGTGATCACTGTTGATTTTGCTTACATGATAGAATATCATACATCTTGCAAGATATTTTAGAATAAAATGACATGTAACCAAATTAAAATTTATTTTGGCTATAAGTGGGCTACTCATAAAGGGATTTTATTGGGTCTATAGTTAACCTAGACGGTGAAATTATGACTATTGCTTTCTGCGGGCTTAAGACTTATCTGTGTAACCTCAGAGTTTTGGGGTAAGTTTGACATCTATAGGCCCTAGGTGGTTTGCAGTCACGTGATTGTGTTGACGCACGGAATGCAGATGGAGAGCAAGGAGTGAAGAGCGCAATGGACGACATGGAGGAAAATCCGTACTGTACTTACAAGAGAAATATATAAACAGAAAATTGAAACACATGTTGGACGTGATCCTTACGTTATGAAGAGGACCGATTTTCAACTGAATTGAGAGATTTTCCTGCCATCGAGGCTGTAGATATCAGCAACTAACTCGTCTCACAGACAGACTTTGACTTTACAAAGTTCGGAAACTGGTACGTTACACAAACAGCCACATAAGTGTATTTAAACACCTGGATAATGTAATTATAAGCCACATAAATAGTGTATTAACTCACATTTGACGAAATGATCACTGCACACACACATTTGGCATTTTCCCATTCAGCTCCTCCCGACCACAAACGTAGGTTTGCAAGGCATTTTTCCCGGTGTTTTTTCTGTCAATTTCTTGTATTTTCCCCCCTTATGAACAACAACTTTTGGCACACGTTAAAAACTACTCTTGGTTTGATCGATTTGAGCAACCATAAATGACGCAAAACATAGGCATTTTGAGTTTGTTATAGTGCTTCCTAAATTACTTCCTGCCCTCCATCTGCATCTCGGGCCATGGCAACGCAGTGGCGTGACGCCATATGAAAACAAGCATTCAAGTTAATTTAATTAGTGAGAGGTAGGTAGGCAATTTGTTTTAAAATTACTTTTTGTTATACTGATATAAGCTGGTATAAGTATATTTCTCTGGTAACACTATCAATGCCGAAATTATCTGCAGCAGTCAGGTGCTACAACTAGAGCTCTGAAATGTTTTTACGTTCATTATTACTGTAATTGTAAGTGCTTTGAGGCACAAAGTTATTTAACACAATCTCTCATCTTGTAACGCTTTGCAGATGCTGCTGTGTGTGTTGCACTCATGTGTTTTGAATAATGTGTGGCGTTTGACAGCTCTCTGAATAGAGGGTGGGTCATTATGGTTTAAGTGCTTTAGCATTTTTTTTAAGGTAGGCATAATATATATATATCAGTATATATCCAAACAAACTTATTCATATCATAGAGCTTTTTGTTTGCATGAAGACAGTCTCACATATTAGAAAACAGCTAAAAGTTATGGAAAGAACTGTGATCCTGTCTGAACCGGTCTACACTATACAGTATTATAATGTCAACAATGCAATAGAGTATTTTAGAAGTTCTGTCACATGAATAATCAATAGACTAAAACAAAACAATAAAACGGGGAGCAATGGATGACAGAGAAGGATTTGTTGTAGACAAAAACAGCCTCTCAAAATATGGCTTATGTTGACATTATTAGGATTAATATAACACACACACACAAACACACTTACAACACTTACCTCAGATAGGTTTGCAACACTGGAATATCATTATGAGATGTGAATGTGCTGTTATGGTGTTAAGAAAACAGCACATTCAGTCAGTTTTCTGTTTTTGCTTGCAGTTGTTCAAAAGTAATACAAAGTTGATTAAACACATTTAAGGTCATACTGACATGCATTACTGATGCCTGTAAAGTTATCGTGCAAAGCGTCCATCGCTATGGTGACAGTGACGTATACTGGGTTTCACTAAATTATGAGGGACACAACAGTGAAAGCTTACCTCATGCATATTAATTAGGTTGACGTTACTTGGTAACTTCCTTGTGACCAGTCACAATTAATATTCATGTGCCAGCCCTTCTCCATAGTTGGACAGTTAAGTTTTAGCATTCCATTATGACATCCATTTATAATATGTCTGATCTTTGAGGGAAAAAAGTTGTGTTTGCCAGTTTGGCTGATGAGTTGAGGTGTGTAGCAGATGGCCTATTCTAAATGATCTTTCATTATTGATGGAGATCAGAAAGTGACTTTATGTGCAAAAGAGCCCTTTGTTATGTCTCTGTATCACTTATTGTAATGAGTTCCCATCTAAGGTGAGCTTTCCTGCAGCTTTGTAAACATACATTATGTAGTATGACAATTTACACAAAAGTTCCTCATACATAATTTACAACCGTACTTCACACAAAGCCAACCAGAGGAGCCAAACATCTGCTGTGACGGATGATAGGTGCTGCTACACAACACAACACAACACACAGCTCTCCTGTACATGACGCATTGGTAAATGTTTGGCCTCAAAAGGAACACACACATCATGCACACACGATAACGAGACCAGTCACAAGATACTTAGGAAATATGGAATGTTGAATGTTTCTGAAACGGAGAAATTATGTGTGTAAATAGAATTAGATAGTTAAAATAGTTAAATTAACACATTTATCGCATGTTATGTTAAAACATGTATCGCTTAGCCTCAAATAAATTTCTGATCATATGATTTTGATCAAGTGGATTTTGCTTATAAATGTACAAATGAAAACTCTCTTATTTATTTATTTATTTTAATGTAAAAACATACACATAGACCCTTTAAGGGGAAATTGTATAGGAAATTTTTCCTCACTGGAAATATAGTACTATACTCTTTATGCTTAAAGGGATGACATTATGCTTTATGCTTTTTGGGTGGGACGTCACCAACGGTTTGCCGCAGTGGGGCCTGTCAAGCCGATAATCTGTCAGTGTTTCTAGTTTCTACTGAGCGCTTACAGGACATCTTATATATATATATATATATATATATATATATATATATATATATATATATATATATATATATATATATGATATTTTTATTTATGCAATGTTCAATACATTTTGGCTTTTCAGAGTTTGTGTTGTGGAATTCACTTCATATTAGCCTTCAGCCACAATGTGCTGGATGCTTTAACTCACTGCAGCTAAATAGGCCTTTACTCTTTGAATTATTATACCTGCATAGGAACAATATGCTTATTTGACACCATTATGACTAAACATTTGCTAATAAGTATTTCCACTTAAAACACGGTGGGACTGCTTAGGCTCTGTTGCCCACTAATTTTCAAAAGTTCACTGTTAGTTACATATTTCTGTAATTTGTAATTTTAAACTATATAATCACCCAGTAATTCTGCAAATTCTTAGTAAATAACTGATTCGCTTTGCAAGGGCATTTATGTGAAAAAAAATCTGTAGCTTAGCCTTACGATATAGAGGCTGCCATTATTTTTTTTTATTATCATTTTTTTTTTTTTTTTTTTTTTTCATTATTCATTTTTGACAGGATTTGCCTTTCACTATGTCTACGCACAGCTTGGACATGTTAAGCGACCGTTGCAAAACACCATTGTTCTTCTGTCAGAAATAGCGCGAGAGCTTTTAGTCAGAACGCCTATGTACTTACTATCAGGGATTTGTCGCGTCGAATCCAGTGTAGACTGACTACGATGGGTTCTGTTGTTTTTTGCGCGTCGTGCCACTCGCGTCCGGGATAGACATGGAACCATCGCGTCGCAGGTTTTGCCCGGGAATGGAACTCATGAGTTGACCAACGGAGTGGAAGAGTTGACCAACGGACAACAGACAGAGTGCTGTGTATCGGTGCACCTTACGAAGACTGACATCAAGCAAGGTAAAAACATGTCTGTGTGTGTTGTCAGGTTTCTGCACCTCAGTTTACTCCTCAACATGGCGGTAACATTTTACACGGTTTAACTGAGCTGTTTCATTTTACAAACTACTTAGGGTGCGTCTCAATCAGGTCCCTTATTAGTCCAGAACTCTTGAATTAGTATCATGTTCACGAATTCGGGCACAAGGAGGACAGGACACTGGCCGGACACATTAGGAAACTGATGACTCAATTTTCGGCGACGTCACGTGACAACGCCCTGTTGTACAACATACTTGAACAACAGCAGAGCTTGTCTTTCTGACAATGCTTGTTAAAATATAGTCTACATGCAACATTTTAAATTGATTGTTCATTACTGTATAGCCTATTAGCCTATAATAGTAAAATGTTATGTTACGTGATTCAAGTTTTGCGCTTAAGAACTTCTGTTAATATAAGGTAACATATGCTGTTTCTCAGGGCCTTTCCATGTGGTCCTTGCACTTGACCACTTGTCTACTTACAAGACATATGTCCAGTAACTTATTTGGCCCGAGTGGTCAAGTAGGCGTGAAGACTGTGTATGTAGAGCTTCTGATTACCTGATGGGACACACTTATTTAGATTAGATTAGATTAGATTCAACTTTATTGTCATTACACAAGTACAAGTACAAGGCAACGAAATGCAATTTGGGTCTAACCAGAAGTCCAAGCAGCAAGTGCAGGATATAAGTGCAGTGGTTCCATAAGTGCAGTACATGGATATGTACTGAATCAATATAGAGTGGATACTATTAAAAACATTTTTTTTTTCAAAATAAATTAGTTCTATGAATATAATATACAGATAACTATTATTGTGAGCAGAGTTTACAGCTAGATATGTACAGAATATAATATATATCACTATCAACAGAATTTTACAGATATGTACAATAAAAATAATATACAGATAGTTATTACTATAAGCAGAGTTTACAGGTGAATATGTACTATAAATATATATACATACAGATGGATTTGAGTAGTGCAAATTAAGTTGGACAAAAACTATCCGAGTAAAGTACAGTGGGAAGTAATTGCATATTACGGCTAAAGTACGATATTGCAAGTGTATATGTAAACAATTGGTACTGTAAATAAACAGTCGGCAGTGCAAAATGATATTCCAGTCAGGTAAGTAGTCCATGATGCATATGTAAACAATTGTTACTGTAATAATAATCAGCAGTGCAAATGAACATTATAGCATTGCAAATAACAAATAACAAATGAAGGCAAGTGTGAGAAGGGAGAGAAGAGTTTATCAGTATATGAGGGAAGTGGATCAGTGAGGGTTAGAGTTCAGTAAAGAAACAGCTCTGGGGAAAAAGCTGTTCTTTAGTCTGCTGGTCCTGGTCCGGAGGCACCTGAAACAGTCTGTGGGCTGGGTGAGAGGAGTCCTTAAGGATGCTACGAGCTCGGTGCAGACAGCGTTTCTTTTGGATGTGCTCGATGGCAGGTAGTTGAGTCCCAATGATGCGCTGGGCAGTTTTCACCACCCGCTGCAGTGCCTTGCGCTCTGCAACAGAGCAGCTCCCATACCACACTGTACCACAGTTGGTCAGAATATAGTGTTGCTTTTGATATAGGCTACTGAAATAGTGATCGTTTCAATACTTAGCGTTTTAAATAAACTTCTAAATGTCTGGTCAGTAGTCCCATATGGAAGACACAATTTAAAGTAGTGGTGCTTCTAATTAAGTGATAGAATGCAGTTTTGAATGTTTTACAGAATACCCACAGCCTTTTTGCGTCAGTAAAATCAATTTAACATTTTAACTACCAAATTACATGTAAAATAATTTGACTTACAGTGGAATGTTATCCTCGCGATTTACGGGCATGCGTGTTGTTTTCCTACCTATTTGGATAAAATGAAAACAACACCCTTTTTTCTCAATTTTCTCAGGGAGCACAGATTTAAATGTTGTTTCATTCTTTCATAGGCAGCCCAGTTTTAATGAAACCCCATTTTGCCAAAAGTGCCCCTTTAAGAACTGTTATATGAAATGTTCATTGGGGAACCCTAAATTGTTCTTTAATGGCATTGCTGGAACAAAAAAAAAAAAAAATGTAAAACCCTATTTTGGAACCTTTTATTAGTGTATAATGTGTCATACTCTTTTATTACCTTAATACACTGGAACTGAGATTTTAGTAATACACCCTTCACCAGAAATATGATTGACAGGCGATCTGACCAATTATAGCGCAGAATCCGCCATTTGCCGGATAATCAAACCAGACAGGAGAGTTCGTAGATTAAAGGGGTCATGAACTGGCTTTTTAAATTTTATTATATTTTTGTCTGAGGTAAATTTAATGACGTCCGCTTGGTTTTTGCATTCAAAAACATCCAAATGAATAAGTAATAGGCTATTTTGTATCCAAGTTTTTAGCCTACCTGAAAAACGCTGGGTTTTTATGGGCGTCTCGCGTCTTGCTGTGAGTGGATAAAAGTTTTGCATATTATAATGAGTCCCGTCAGGGCCAGCTCTAGCCCTTTGGCTGCCCTAGGCGAGATTGATTTTTCGCGCTTAAAATAATATTAAAATAATATTTTGCATTTTATTGGCGTCTCTCACATTGTACCACAGCAACATTACGGTAGATTAGTGTTCAATGTTTTAATAATAATTGATTTATAATTTAATAATCATTTATTCTTTAGTGTCCAATCCATTTCATTAATTTAACATATTTATTAATATTGGGTGCACCCAAGCCTATTTTAACTTTTTTTGTTGTTTTTAAAGTAACGCAATAGTTACTTTCCCTGGTAATTCGTTACTTTTATAATGATTTAATTCAGTTACTAACAGTTACTATTTGTGAGAAGTAGCTATTAACTATAACTAATTATCTTTCTTAAGTAACATGCCCAATATTGATGATGAGTATTTAAT